CTCTGTTATATTTCTACAGTTCCTTTGCCATTTTGATTTTTAAGGTTTATTTTAGTGGTGTGTGTGTTTATGAATGTCTGATTGTAAACAAACCAAACCAGGGAGTGGCTTCTCGTGGAGGGAGCTGAAGTTAAATCCGGTGCTCTCCGAAAACAGAATGTGGTGTTCCTAATAACCCCTTTACCCAGTTACTTCTTCCAGCAGGCAACTTAAAAAGCCTTTTCAAGGTATATTACCCACATCGTAAGAACCACCTGTATAAATGAGTTTGTGCTTTCTGGAACCTTCCCTGAAGTCGGGCCTCTTGCCATGCCTCAAGTTTAGAGACACCCCCTTCCCCCCAGTATTCCTTGTCTCCCCAGCTCCAGTCAATACTGCTCTGCTTTTAGCCTCTGTTACTATAACTTAATTTTGGTTATGAAAAAAAGAAGAAGAAACCAGTAGTTTGTTATTTCAGTCAACTTTTTCTATGCCAAGAAGGAAACTCCGTAAATAGAGCCCAGACTCCTTCGGCAGGCCCGGTGCCCAAGCTTCACTTTGCAGCAGCTGACAGGGCGGTCCCCTCTGCTGCCATGGCTGCTTGTGTCTACATCAGCATCTCAGTCCACCTTCTGTGCCTGCCAGTTACCTGGGCACAGCATCTCAGTCCACCTTCTGTACCGGCCAGTTACCTGGGCACAGCATCTCAGTCCACCTTCTGTACCGGCCAGTTACCTGGGCACACGACTCTCTGGTTCTGTAGGAGGATAGAGTTCTGCCCGTGTTTTATAGCCGGTTTCACAGACCCTGCTCAACAAAAATTTCCCTCCTCTCCAGATAAAAATGACTCTGAGGAGCCCCCCTCCCCGCCCCGTGCTTCCCTTACGGCTCACAGGGGCTCCACCAGGACGTTACAGGCAGCTCTCCTCCCTATCAAGCCCAATTCTTAGGCTGTCTGTCTCAGTTGTCGTCATCTCCTAGCCCTTCTCTACCCCATTTCTCTACCCCATTTCTTCCCCCCGAGGCTGTGCCTCCCCCCATGCACAGGTCTTCACTGTTGTCATTGTTAAATGTTCTCGCACGAGGGACTGCGTGGCCTGTCCCCAGTGTGTTGCTTAAGATGTTCTTAACTATATGAAGATTTGCTTAAATGAACGAAAATAAAAACATGCCACCTGCCGGGTGGTCTTGCCGTATTAATCCTAGCGCTCAAAGAGGCAGAGGCAGGTGGGTCTCTGTGAGATCGAGGTCAGCCTGCTCTACAGAGCGAGTTCCAGGACAGCCAAGGCTACACAGAGAAACTCGAAAAACAAACCAAAGCAAAACAAACAAAAAAGATGAGAAAAGCATACCACCCCAGTGTGTGTGGATATCCACAATTGTCTGCGCTTCTCTTTCCTAAGGGTTTTGCCTGCTTCTTCCTGTATTAAAATTTATTTGATCAATCTGCTATCAGCACCAATCCTCAATCCTCCCTCCCCTTTTCCCACCTTCCTCCTCTCCCTTCTCTTTTTCCTGTTTTTGTTTTGTTTTGTTTGGGGGGAAAGAAGGCTTGAATTTAGCCTGGATGGCCTTGAACTCTTAACCCTTCTTCTGAGTGAAGAGTTACAAGTGTTTGGCAGTTACTGGTTTGTGCAGTGCTGGGAGCTGAACTTAGTACATGCTAGGCAAGTGCTCTCCTAAGCGAGCTACACCGCTGGCCCTAGAGTTTATCGTATTTCTTTTACCCTCTTAGCCAGCTGTTGGCGAAGTAGACTCAGAAAACTCATGGTTGCATTGATGAACTTTATTCCTTTCCTACAGTTGATTCTGCTTTTGTTGTTGCTGCTGCTGCTGCTGCCTCCGCTGTTGTGTGTTATTTTGAGGCAGGGTCTTGCTAAGCAGCTGTGCTGGCTCGTTTGATGTCAACTTGACACTGGCTGGAGTCTTTGGAAAATGTGGGGCTGTTGGCAAGTCTCTAGGGCGTTTTCTGAATGAGTGGTGGATCGGGAAGTGTCCAGCCTATTGTATTTTTAATGCTCCCCCCTGGGCTGGTGGTCCTGGATTCTCTAAGAATACAGACTGAGTAAGCCATGGCGAGCAAGCCAGTAAACAGCATGCCTTCCATGGCCTCTGAATCAGCTCCTGCCTTCAGGTTCCTGCCCCGTTTGAGTTCCTGTCCTGGCTTCCTTCAGTTATGGACTGCAGTGTGGCAGTGTAAGTTGACCAGACTCTCTCCTCCCCAACTTGCTATTGGCCATGGTGCTTCATTACAGCAGTAGTAACTGTGACTCTGTCCACACTGACTTTGAACCTGGGATCCTTCCCTCAGCCTCCGGTGTGCCAGGCTTACAGGCACGTGCCGCCCCACCTTCATTCGACTTAAAAGTAGTGATGTAATTCACTCTGTAACTGAAGCCTCATGTCTGGGTGGTCAGAGGATGTTTGTTGATCGGCCCTCTCTCAGGCCGCACCCCATGCTGGGAGACATGGCGCTCATGAGAGGGAGCATGGAGCGCTGGCTTTTAGAACATACCAGATGCATGTAGGACCTGCCAAGTGCCAGAAGAAATTCAGCACAGGGAAAGTCTGAGGACCTGGGTAGTGGTGGTGGGGGGGGAGGAGATGATCCCTTCCTTCTGGGAAAGGTGGCATTTGAGTCCTGCTGGGAGGGAGATAGCGCTGGCCAGCAAGGACAAGAGAGGATATTACAACCAGGGGACAGATCGAGGACAAGCCACTAAATTGGAAAAGCAGAGTTCAGGAGGCTGAACGAGAGCTGAAAAGTGGCCGATGAGATGCATGGGGGGACAGTCGCCTCCTGCACAAATTAGCACTTTGGTATCCCTTAGCAACCTGGTCCCAGGTAAGCCTGTTAGGACTGCGAAGGAGGGCTTGGGGCAGCCAGAGCCTAGAAGCCTGTGAGAGGGAGCAAGAGATGCAATGCCTCTGTAAGGAGAAGAGACACCGAGGCATGGGGTGGCTGCGATATGGGTGTCGGCGGAGATTCTTTGGCCTAGCATGGCTGTGTGGTGCAGAGCAGAGGTGCATTGCGGACCACTCCCAGGTGAAGCAGCTGGTTAGTAGAGGGGATGGGAACAAGGATGGTTGTAGAGCCAAGGTAGCAAGCCTTGGTTCTTGGCCTTGCAGAAGGGAAGGGTGAGCTTCTACACGGGGTTTTCCTGTCTGTTCACAGTGGAAACCCGGGTGCGATTGCTCTCAGGGATTGATCACAGGCAAAGGCTGGTTCATTGCCGCATCCACAGAACTCACTCTCAACAGGGCTTTGCAGTATTTAAAAGTTGATCCGTTAAGGTTAATCCTTACAGGCCGTGGCAGATTCCTGTGTGCCCTGGGCTGAGGCCAGGCCCATGACAAATGCTGACTCACTTAATACTAAAGCAACGGTTACTCAAAAAAAAATCGTTTTGGAAATGGCAGTTATTGATGACGCTCTCCTTTGGCCACGGGGTTTCTTTTTTGGTTGTTGTTTCTGTTTTTATGCCAGCATCATGGCGCGCTTTTGCAGTGTTGTGCAAGCGAGTTCCAAGCTCACTTGAACATTTCGTGTGCCGAGAGCCTAAGGACCTCAGTAGTACTGCCAGCCGAGCCTGAGGACCGACCTTATTAACCCCCAGGAGGACGTACATGGTACAAGGGGAGAAACGGCTCCCTTAAGTTGCCCTCTGACCTTCACACATGTGCCACGGCACCTACATGCCTACACACAGTAATTAAACTTTTGTGTGCTGGTATTACTATCTGGTCACCCACCTTTCAAATTATCTTTTGTTTGGGAGATAGGCGATCTCACTATGTAGTCCTCGATGCCCTGGAATTCACAGAGATCCACCTACCTCTGCCTCCCTGGTACTGGGATTAAAGGCGTGCGCTGGCAAGCCCAGATATATTCCAGATTGTCTTTTTAAATGGTGCATTTGTTTTATCTCCCTGTTCAAGGTAACTGTACTGAAACGTTAAGTTCCCTTCGCTGGGGTTGAATGTGAACGCAGAGGTTCTCCCGTCCTTTCTCCTGCCTTCCGTCCATTTCTGTGATGTAGACACGGGACCTGCTGACACAGTGTTGCAGAGGTTGTGTTGATTGAGAGGGGGCGCAGGTAGGCTGAGCCCAGAAGGGAGGAAGTGTATCTCAAGCTTATTTCCTACGTGGGAAGGCATCTTGGGGTTGAGTGCTCGACTCTGTGCTTCCAGGCTAGAGGTTTGCTGTTGGCACTTAACTCACATTTGAGTTGCCCTTGAAGCATCCGTGCTTGCTCACAGCAGACCCCGAGTGTGTCAGGAAGTTCTGATTCCCTAAGATTCACTCCGCGATGACAATTCAAGACGGCATTTCTGGCTTCTTTTGGCAAGGAGAGCAAGGGTCTGGCTCCCTGGCTTCTGCCCTTCCTTTTCCTGGCTCTCTGCTTTCTCCTTTTTCCAGCAGACGGGTACACACGCACACTTTCCCAGACACTGATAACCATACCATACTCACGCATGCGCCCTCTCCCACACTCCTTGGCACACAGCCCTCCTCTGCGCTCTACCGTCTAACCCGCATCCTCATTTCTTCGCTCACTGCCTTCAGTGTTTGCTCACACTCCTTCCCTGCAGACAGAAACCTCTGGATCTGCCTTCCTCTCATTCCCGTGTAGGGATCTTGCCATCTGGGCCCCCCACACGGCCTGGAGTGGGCTGATGGCAGTGTCGTTGAGAAGTGGGTTGTGCCCTTTTGTTTCAGGCGCTGGAGTGAGTGATTCTCTCACTGATTGGTGGTTCGTAGATAGGTTTAGGTTTCACTAGTGGTGACAACTTCCCACAGCTTAGCAATTGAAGGTTCTCGTGGAAGCCTACAGATCCAGGTCTTCCGTTAGCTGCGTGCTCACTTCTGAAGCAAAATGAGTGAGTGGGGAAGGCCACCGCACCCTGCTGGCCAGGCTGTCCACGGAGGGAGATTATTCCCAGCATCCTTCCCAACACGCTTGTCATCTTTGCTTGGATTAGAAAGGACGTTGACTATCTTCTGTGCTTTTCCTTTTTAGATTCAAAATATGAACAACATCATCTCCTTCCCTCTGGACAGTCTGCTGAAAGGAGACCTGAAAGGCGTGAAAGGGGTACGAACGAGTACCGGGGTTTGGACACTGTGGGGGGGGGTCACAGTGGCTGTCACCCCGCCCACCGCATGTAGCCACAGGAATGGCATTCAGTTTCTTTCCTTTCATTTGGCGTTTCGATGCCACGCGATGCAGCCGCCGCCATGCCGCTTGGCCTGTGGGTTCTTCTCTTGCTGGCGCTGCAAGCTTGGTGAAGGGAGAACACAGAGAGGGAAACGAGCCAGTTGGAGACTCGCAGCACACCAGAGGGTTCCCGCAGCGCCACAGGAGCACGGAGAGGCTGGGGAATCTGGTTTCCTTGCTGTTGTGTTCCTGCTCTACCCCTAGAAAGTACCCTAGCAAGGGCGGAAGGTCTCATGGAGCGTGAGCTGACTATGTGACTCTGCCCGCAGAGGACGCTCACCGAGGCCTTGTAGTACTTAGTTGATGCAGGAACTGCTATTAGTTTCAGGGCTAAAGGGATGTTTGGCTGGGTTCTTGAGAAACCCAGGTCTTTGTATGTGTGTGTGATTTCAGGGGCTCGGTCTAGGTACATCTGGCAGCCTGTCTGAACCATCTTGGGGACCTCTGCCTAGACCCCCTGCTGAATCCCTTCCAAAGCAGGCAGGGAGAGAGCTGTTAAAACAGCAAGGGACGTGATGTGTTTTCCCTGTGCAGGCCCGGAAATCAGGCCAGCTGATTTGCCAGGAAACAAACAAACAAAAAGCAAGGGCTAGGAGGTTGCCGTCTGCAGAGGAAAGACACGTCCCATAGTGGAAGCATGGATCCACACCCTGGGCCAGGCTGTCAGGAGCAGGAGGGCAATTTCACAGAGGCCTTCCAAGGCCCCTGGAGACACAAAATTTAAACACAGAAAACAGTCTTGTTGAAGAGAAACAGGGCTGTGTGGGACCCTTTGGACAGACGTGAAGGCCAAGCCCTGTTAGAGACCACGAACCCCAGCTATGAACCCTGAGTGCAGAAGGGAAGCCCAGGGCACTAGGATAGGGGTGGAAGTGAACACGGGCGGTATGCATGTTGTTTGACCTGATCTTTGTGTGTGTTGTATGTTGTATAATGCATGTCTTAGAATGAGAAAGAATGGAAAGGAAGAGAGGCTGGCCGGCCCACCCTAGTCTCAAGGGTAGGATCCCACGCGTGACTTCTTCCAGAGGCTGGCACCTGTACGAACCAGTCTAGGGGTTTGGATGTCTGTCTTGCACAGAAGTTAATGATTAATTAAACTTACTCGCTGCCCCTCTGTTTGCAGGATCTGAAAAAGCCCTTTGATAAAGCATGGAAGGACTATGAAACCAAAATGTGAGTGTTTTTTATTGTTTTAAGTTATGTAGGCAATTTGAGATTTTAGTTTTAAATGGGGATTTTGTTGCTCGCAGGGACTGTCTGAGTAAACCAAATCCAGGAAAGGATTTTCCTCAAGCTGTGTCGCATGGCTCATGGTGACAGGTGTATCTGTGGTCTGCGTTCAGAGAGGGTGGCCTCTTCCAGCAAGCTCTGCAAGTTGTGGTGGTCACAGAATAGGGTTTCACATTAGGGCTTCCTGGTGGTTCATTAAATAAACAAACAGAGCCCTGGAGCTGGGGGGATGGCTCACGGGATAAAGTACTGACTCTACTAACGTGAAGACCTGAGTTTGAGGCCCCAGAACCCGTGTGAAGAGACAGCTGTGGTGGTGGCTGTAATCACACTGTCCCTGGGGGGAGGTGGGAAGTGGAGACTGCCAGAGTGCCCGGAAGTTTGTCTACCAGGTCACGCCTTACACAGGGGCTAACGAGAGACGCTGTCTCACATAAAGCAAAAGACAAGGACTGACCCCTAAGGGGCCCTCTGAGCGCATTCCCGCCAGGATATGCACACAGACGCAGGCAGGTGCACCTCCACACACAAGGGTGTCTTTTTGTTCTTTTGTTTGTAATATTTATTTATTTACTTATTATGTATAAAATATTCTGTCTGTGTGTGTGTGCCTGTAGGCCAGAAGAGGGCACCAGATCCCATTACTGATGGTTGTGAGCCACCATGTGGTTGCTGGGAGTTGAACTCAGGACCTTTGGAAGGGCAGGCAATGCTCTTAACCGCTGAGCCATCTCTCTAGCCCTCGTTTATTTGTTTTTTAAGTGCACTCTTAGCTCCTGGTCCCTGTTTATCTGAAATACTAGATCTCTTGTTTTTAGGACTGCCAGCCCCGAGGGCTTCAGTTTTACTTGGTTTCTTTGTTGCTAGGGAGAGAGGTAGTGGTTGGGGCTCAGTGACCCTAAGACTTCAACCAGGGTCTCTCTCTGCTCAAGGTCAGTCTGCTGGTGACCAGGGACAGGCAGTTAGAACATTTCTCATCAGTTTCTCATTCTGAAGGCAGGGAGGATAAGGCCAGCTAGAAAAAGCTAGTGATGGTATCGTGTGTGTGTGTGTGTGTGTGTGTGTGTGTATGGTGGGAGAGAGGGTGCCTTAAAGGTGTTGATGATTGAAATGATGGAGATTGACAATTTCTTTAAATGTCTTGTGTTTACTTTGTATCTGCTGGGGGAGGCGTCCCTGAAAGGAAAGACACTTCCTACGGAGCCATCTGGTAAAGTGAAGGGTCTTAAGAAGAAAGTCATTGTAAAAATGACTTAAGTGTTTTAACTGGGTCCCCCACCACCACCACCACCACCACGGGTGGCATCCACTCCTATACTCAGCAGGAGTGGAACGAGACTGGGGGATCTAGAACGTCTGTTCAACTCAAGGATGCTCCCAACCGTCGTCCCTAGTGACTTAGCCTTTTTTCACTGTGCTAAGTTCAGTGCGGTCAGCACACGGCTGCTACTGTTTGCTGGGGCCTGGCACCTGCCTATGTAGCTTAGGGTCAGGAGTGGGATTGGCTCACTACTGTCCAACTGTACCTGCACATTGCCCTTACACCACGACCTCACTCAGAGACGTGGATGGTTGGAGCAAGGTAGAGTGATGGCCGAGAACACTGTGGAGAGGGGGCTTTGGTTGAGGAGAGAGAAAGAGAGACTGGGGGAGCGAAGGCATCACACTCTCCAAGACGAAGCTTTACCTGCTTGGCATAAGGACAGAATCACCTCAGAGTCTGGCTTGGGATTCGGTGGGGGCGGGGGGGCTTACAAAGCCTTTTAAACTCAAAGCAACCCTAGGATACATCAAAAAGTTATTCTTTACCCGTGAACATGGGCAGTTTCCCTATCATGTGTGATAACTAGATTTGAGATGGCTGCAGGATTCCTCTGCAGTAGCTCTGTATTGAGTGTTTAGCTACATGGCCAGCGTAGCAGAATGGTGTATGGAGCCTAGAGACTGTAGTGCCCTGTAGTCACAGGTCCATTGAGGTGCCTGATTTCTCGAGACAACGTCCCCGGCAAGTGACCTCCTAGTCCTTCACATTCTTGGCGCCTTCAGAGTATCACGTTGACCTCGTGTGCCAGACAGAAGAGCAAAGGGCTGGCATTCGTGCATCTTCCACACGTATGCACAGACAGACACACACGCACACACTGCCTCCTGTGATAGCGAACCCTCAAGTAGCCTATATAATCATCAAACAGCTTTTAAGGAAAATGCCAGCTGTGTCTCTGTGTGTGAGCTGAGGCTGGACAGGAAGTGCCTCCAAGGCCTTTAGGTCCAGTGCTTTCTGTGGCCCGTGCAACTCTGTGACACCGTTTCCCTTGGTGTTGGATGTTTCTGATGCATGCCCAGCTGGTCAGTTTAAACCTGAACTGTACACGTGACATTTAAGTCATGTAGCTTAGCATGAAGTCTCTGTGGGAAGGGACATGAAGGAAGACAATGGTTGAACAGCGTGATGTTGTCGTGAGGAGCACTCTGGAAGCCAGAACTGCGTGTGACTTTGCTAACTGCGGCACAGAGGGTGCTAGTGAGGGTCTCTAGCGAGAGGCTGGCTATCAAGGGCAAGGCGTGTGTGGGTCTTCCATCTCCTCGGACACAGATCGGACCCAACAGGTGCTTAGGCAGTATCTGTTGAGTGAACAGTGGGAAGGCCACATCCAACGTGTTTCCATGACACCGTGCAGCTTGCTTTCTGCGAGAGTTAAGAGGTCGCCCACTTTGAAGAGTGCCACACGGGCGGGCATTCTTCTCGGCAGATGATTCTGAGGCTGTCCGCTGGGGAGTGCGGTGCCCAGTGGCCTCTTGACTCACCCTCGCGTTTCCTTCACACACAGAACCAAAATAGAGAAGGAGAAGAAGGAGCACGCCAAGCTCCACGGGATGATCCGCACTGAAATAAGCGGGGCCGAAATCGCAGAGGAAATGGAGAAGGAACGGCGCTTCTTCCAGCTGCAGATGTGTGAGGTGAGAGGCCAGGAAGGGGAAGGTGGTACAGGCTGGGCCACGGGCGCACACCTCCTCTCCAGCGTGGTCTTCCCCACCAGACAACCGGACTGCGTTTCTGGGCTGAAGGTTTGTTTCCGTAGAGGAATCTTAGGCTACGTCCTGGTGTGTGGGTTTAGGTCAGTCTAAAGCCAACCTTCACTCAAGGAAGAGAGGGGGACTGGCAGAGACCGGACTCAGAGGTCAAGAGCACTTGCTGCTCAGTCACGAGGATCAGAGTTTGGATCCGTACACCCAGACCAGGCTGCCCACAGCGCCTGTAATTCCAGATCCAAGGGCTCTGGTACCCTCTTCTGTCCTCCAGATAGACCTGCACCCACGTGCCCAGGAACACACACAGGAATCTATGAGCGTCCTCTCTGGCCTCCATACTTTCTCACAGGAGTTGGCTGGAATATTTCCCTCTTCCATGCTTTTAGGAGTTCTTATTACACCTGTGCAGTCGGTGGAAGGGAGGTGTGAAGAGCTAGCGGAAGACGGTCATGGCTCCCACAGCATCCTTGCTATCCAGTTAGACATCACCCGCCCTAGGGGGTCTTGCTTTCTATGGTCTTTGCCTGTGTCTTGGAGAAGGGCAAAGGGGAGCTGACTCCAGGAGCCTTTCTCTAGATCAGAATCCAAGGAGCATGAAGGCCTTTGTGTGTGTGTGAAAATCGCCCCACCTCTCCCCTAGAGTCTGCATTAGCCTAATCCCCAGCCCAGTGGTACTTGTTATACCCCCTTAAACAGGGCACTAGTTAAAAAAAAGAAAAAGCCTTCGCAGAGCTTCCTTCCTAATTGTATGCTTTATGGATTGCTTTTTATAATAAGTTCCGGTAAGTAGAACTTCCGGGTCAAAGAGCGTACACATTGTAAGTCTTGCTACGTTGCCAAACGTTTTATTAATGATTGTATCATTTTGGTCCGTTGCCAGATATCCAATTAAGAGTGAATAACTATCAAAAAGGAAGGAGAAAGGACACATAGGCAGTTCTTACAGAGAGAAGAAAATTTGTTGTTATGGTTTCAGAGCGGCTTCCTGTCCCCTCACTGGCTTGCACAGCTGGCCTAGGAGGGTTTCTGGACTTGGGCTCATCCTGAGACAGCTGGGAACTCACGGGGCTTACCTCAGGTTAGCAGGTTTTCCTGGGCCATCCTGTCTTGAAGAGGAGATGTGTTCAGGATTCTTTTTTTTAAAAAATATTTTATGTGCATTGGTGTTTTGTTTTGTTTTTGTTGTTGTTTTGTTTTTGGGTTTTGGCTTTTTTGTTTGTTTGTTTGTTTTCCGAGACAGGGTTTCTCTGTAGCTTTGGAGCCTGTCCTGGAACTCGCTCTGTAGACCAGGCTGGCCTCAAACTCACGGAGATCCACCTGCCTCTGCCTCCTGAGTGCTGGGATTAAAGGTGTGCGCCACCACCTCCCGATATACATTGGTGTTTTGCCTGCATGTATGTCTTTGTGAAGGTGTCAGATCTTGAAGTTACAGACAGTCATGAGCTGCCATGTGGGTGCTTGGAATTGAATCTGGGTCCTCAGTGCTCGCCCACCACCTCACAGTGAGGGGAAGGGGGTTTATAAAGCCCTTGTTCTGGACACTTTTAGGAAGGGACGAATGAGTTTTATAAGGCCTGGGCTTCCTGCTCAGCAGTCCTTGATGGATTCTCTGGGTTAGAGGTGGCTTTGATACAATTCATTTAAAATTCACCGTTTTAGTGCTTTGGATCAGCAACAAAATCTCCACTACTGGACACTAACAGTGTTGAAGACAAGGAGCTGGTAAAGAAAGGGACTTGAAACTGGGTGTGGTGGCAAAGTGCCATTGATCTCAGTTCGAGGACAGTGTAAAAGAGACCTGGGTGGAAGAAAATACATAGTAAAAGCCAAGGCAGTTAGAAACTCCCATTTGTTCTAGGCATCCTCCTCCCATGCATTGAGAGTAAGCTCGTCCTGCCTGGTTATATGGCAGACTATCTAGTTAGTAGGATGTGTGATTATTAAACGTTGCATTACCTGACCAGCATAGCCATTTAGTCATGTTTGCAGATAGCACCTGGTGTCTAGCACAAGCTCTTCTCGGTTTACAAGCTGTTAAAGACGTCCAGATAGAGTCAATCTTGAGCAAGGAGTGTGGCGCAGTTCGTAGTGTGTACACCAAGTGTGCACAAGCCCCTGGGGTCAGGCTCCAGCCCTGCCTAAGCCAGGTGTGGTGTTACCTACCTGTATCCCAGCACTTGGGAGGGGGAAGCAAGGGGACCAGAAATTCAAGGTACTCCTTGATTGTCCAGCGAGTTTAAGGCTAGCCTAGGCTACAGGAGACCCTGTTTCAAAAGAGCCCCTGATGTCGTCAGACACTCCCAGCTGCTGACTTCTGCCATGGCCTTCCCTTGTTTCTCAACAGTATCTGCTGAAGGTCAATGAAATCAAGGTTAAAAAAGGAGTGGATTTGCTGCAGAATCTGATCAAGTACTTCCACGCCCAGTGCAAGTAAGTGGCCCTGTTTCATGGTGTCCTCGAATGCTCCCTGTGGGTGGCAGCTTCCAGTGGGTAGCTTTGTGTTGAGGGAATAAACGTGTGTGTGTGTGTGTGTGTGTGTGTGTGTGTGTGTGTGTGTGTACAAACATAGCAAAGTGGTAACTCACTCTTGGCCTGGTATGTGTAGGGGCCTAGGTTTAATTCCCAGAACTGGGGTGTCTGGGGGAGAGAAATTATTATTATCATGAGCTGGGACTGGGGCTGCAGCTGAGTTTGTAGAGTGTTTACCTGGCACGGAGAGACTCTTGGGTTGGTAATTCCAGCACTATGTCAAACAATGTGGTGGCATAATCCTGGTCCACCTAGGAGGTAGAGGCAGAAGGAGCAGACGTTTAAGGTCATCCTTGGCTATATAGAGAGTAGCCTGGGCTACATGGGATTCTGTGAATGAATGAATGAATGAATGACCATGGGAAAAAAGAAGCGCTCAGAATACAACACAGATGAGCCTTAACTATGTAGAGGGAAGGAAGGCAGAGACGCAAGGTCACACTGCATGACTCTGTGTATTTTACAACCCAGTAGTAAAAGCACTTTATAGACAGAAAGCAGCTTAAACAGTTCCCATAGAGAATGAAGGCGTGGGGCCTGACCACTTGTGGGTCCCTGCTCTTTCGGAGGCAACAGAACACGTTCTGACTGGTGCAGACACTGGCAGTATTCTAAAATCTACTGCACTGTACACTTCCAAAGAGCGATCTTAGGGCTTGAGGATTGTGTCTCAATAAAAAATGGAAGTAGGGAGGCAGTATTTAAAAATTGGCAACAATTGTCAAATACCTTTTATTTTCCTTTTTGTAGAGCGGCCAGTTTGTTTGGTCTGACACAGGCTCTCAGATTTTGTTGATTTTTGAGGAAGAGGGGACACAGCGTTGATTTAGTGTGTTCCGCTAAGCCAGTACTTGCACACATTACTGGTGTTAGGAAGTCAGTGGGAGTGAAAGAGAATATTCGTGTTCTGGGCACTTAGCTTTGCTGTGGATGTTTCCAGTCCAGGCCCCTGACCACTGGTGTGAGTGCACACCTATGAGTTTTTCACACGCCACGGCGTCTTCCCTCACTCACCCAGTAGACTTTGATGGAGTCTTTGTTTATATAAGGCTTATGCAAGGTGCTGAGATAAATGGATGTGCTTGGAGAGATGGATCAGGGACCGGATGTTTGCTTCGATGTTCTGAAGACTGGAGAGATGGCCTGATGGTTTAAGAGTGCTGTCTGCTCTTCCAGAGGACTTGGGTTGGATTCCCAGAACCCATGTGGCAGCTCACAACCACCTATAACTCTAGTTCCTGGAGATCCGACTCCTCTTCTGACCTCCGGAGGCTTCTGAAGACACATGGTGTACATACATCCACTCATGGGCACATAGATACACGTAGAGTTAAACAAATACATTATCTAAAAAGAGTAGCCCCAGACAGTGGACTGCCATAGAGTAGTCTGGGGTGACATTAGCATGGCTGAACTGATCCCCGCTGGAGGGGAAAGTGTGGAGCCCTTTGAGAAATCCCGAGGTCAAGCTGCCACACCTGTCTGCTGCTCCCCTAATGGGCCTGGCTTGGAGATGGTGTCACTGCCCACACCTTGTTCCCTTCCCTGGAAGGTCCTCTGCCTTCCCCTGTCCTCCAGCAGACTCACCGTCTGGTTCGGGAGCACCAGCCCTGATGGGACCTCATCTCCTTGCCTCTGCAGCATCTTCATTCATTACCATGTCCAGGGATGCCGTGTGGACCAGCTACGCATGTGCAGTGGGGGCTCGGGTGCTCACCCCAAGGCTGCTTAGCTGTTGATCTCAGGGTGGCTGTGGTGACTCCGTTAGCTTGTGATCAGGTGGGACATCAGCTGGGAAAGACTTGCCCAGACTCAGAGGACCTGGAACTTCTAGAATTTTTGAGGTGGTTTCCTCTGACAGACTCAAAGCGAGGACCTGCTCAGCAGATCGGAGCGGCTGCTCCATCCTCACAGCCCGGTTGCCAGGCTGCGTAGGAAGTGGGTTGCTTCCTCGTTGGGTTTTTATTTTTAGGGAAAAGTTATTCTCAGATTTCCCTTTTCTTCTTTATTTTGCACAAACTGTCAGTTGGGTAGCAACAGGCTACTTGTGGAAAGTGAATCGCTTGACCTTTTATGGACACGAGCTCAATAACCTTCTGAAATGCAAGTCTTCCCGTTCCTCCTCGGTTGAGGGCTGGTGTGGCCGAATTGGGGGTTGTGTCCTCACATGGTTCAGTTCATACTTGGGAGGCAAAACAAAGCCTGAGAGGCTTGGCTTTCGGACCCTGGGAACCTGAGGTCATGTGTGTGCTCTGCCTCTTCAGGTGCCCTCGCCAAGGCTGTCTTCCTCGTGGCATCTAGACCCTTAGAACGACTTCCATGCACCTTAATTTTGCTTTTTACATTTATTTTTACTTGTTACATTTTGTAGTTTTTTTTTTTTTTTAAGTATTTTGTTGTCACCGTTTTTTTATTCCACGCAAAGGCAGGCACTTGCGTCCCTGGAGCATCTGAAGATTCGTCTTCTGCTGCTAGAGAGGGAGGGTGCTGTTCTGTAATAGCCAAGGGAAATAGGGCAGCCCTTGGGACAGTGACTAAAGGAGGCGGCAACTCTCTGAGGCGGTGGCTCTCAGAGGTGGGAGTGTGTGTTGAGTTGCCTTGCACTTTGAGAACGTACTGCTCAGAGCTGTGAGGGCCAACCACTACGTTGATGAGGCTTGGGAAGAGGAGATGTGGAGGAGTGGGTTTTTGTGCCAGGAAGGGGTGGGTGCCAGGGGCAGACCCTCAATAGAAGAGGTCCCTGTCCTGATGCGATGGTACCGTGACCGTGGGGAGCTGGGCACAGTGTGTGAGGTCCAGGAGAAAAGATCGCATCTAAAGAGTTCCATTTTCAAGGCTTGAAAACTGTGGTTGAACCGGCTAGAAAATGTCCAATAGGAAGAGAACAAAGTCTGATTTGGTAACACCAATGTTAAATGCCCTTTGACTAAAGCTTGGAAAAATGCTAACAGGCTTTGGGGACACGCACCTGTGAGTGTCACAGTGACTGACGGACGGAGGTCACGGAACCAGCCCTTGAGCTCCTTCCCTTTGAAGCTGCTGTGGTGTCTGCCTGGTACCCTCTAGAAGGAGGGCACAGATGGATGGATGTTTGAGAGTCAGAACAGGAGTGGGTGGGGGCATTATAGGTGGATTCATAGGTTTGTCAAAGATGAAAACTGCATACTTAGCCCAAGTTTGCACCTTCTGAGTGTACTCTCCAGGAAACGTGTGAGAGAACCAGGCTCCCGAGCCCCTGACTACATCCTTGCTCGTTCCATCTACCTTGGGAAGAGTTGCCAAGCTGCAGATGCCCAGGGCTGCGCACCTGTTCCCTCCCTGGGTACCGCCTTTTCCTGTACTTGCATTCCCTGCCTCCTATGTTTATCTCTTCCTCTCTCTCTTCTGACCTACCTACATTACCAGAACGCGGAGTGAGCAAGGGAGTCATTACATAAAGAACTGTAACTAAGGCATGGAGATTACACAAGTTCACAGCAGGAGCAGCCCACTTTCTGGTGCCCGTGGCCCTTCAATTCTTCAAGATTTCCTTGTCAATTTAGGAAGCCCAGAGAGGCAGGGGACCTGACGTGTTTGCTCTAAATGTGGCCACAAATACCCGGACAGGTCACACTGACACGGGGACATAATTAATTGCTATCCAGAAGCATGTTCTGTGTTTAGAAACATTAAACACAGGTAAATATCTCGTCACTTATGTTGAATGACTGGCTACATTGTTTTCACGACCCTTAGCACACTTAGAGTGAAAGAGTCTCATGGGACCATCGATGACTTTAAAGGAAAAAAAAAGAAAAATCACCTAAGTAAATATAGATGTGAGACCCAGGTCACTTTCTTCCCCCCCTCCCCAGATTTTTAGTTATCATTTATTTTCTAATTTGTGCGCGTGAGTATGTGATGTTTTCATGGGGTGACCTGAGGTCAGAGACAACTTGGGGAGCCGGCTCTCTCCTTCCACAGTCTCTTCTGCTTCTTCCCCTGCGTGTGCCTCTAGCCAATTCTCTTCTCTCCTCACCATAGGGGTGCTGGGATTCGGGGTGCACACACACCACCTCTGATACCTGGCTTTTGCTGAAGGTTGTCCAGGAAGGGTTGAGTTCTGGTTGCCTGGCTGTTTAAGTTACTTCTCTTGCTGTGATGGAACAGCCAATGAAAGCCTGCCACGGAGGGGAGCTTACTCCTGCTGTGTGGAGGCAGAGCCTGCCAGAGGGAAAGGTTCAGGTAGCAGGGGATAGAGGAGCCAGTGCTGGCTTTCAGCTTGCTTTCTCTTTTTCATTCCATCCGGGACCCCAGCTCACGGGATCGTGTCCCCACGTACACGTTGGTCTTCCCTGCTTGGTTAAACCTCTCTAGAAATAAAAGCCCTTGCATCCAGACCCAGGTGTGAGTCTCCTAGGTGATCTTAAATCCAGTCAGGTTGACGGTGACGACTGGCTGGCATGCTTTGGGGCTGTGCTGTAGACTAGCAACTTTTGCTACCTCTCCTGAATCCTTTGTCTTAAGTGGCCTCGCAGCCCTGAGTCCCTCGCTTTAGGAGATCCCTTTTGCTACCTAACCTTTGAAACCCACCCTGCTTTCCGTGTAGGTGGAGCCCGGCCATTCATGTGTGTCAAAGTTGCCCGGTATTCCACTTGACTGTTTCCTAATAGAATTCTCTAGTAAGCGCTCTGGTTTGCACCTTATGGCTTTTTGGCCTCAAAGCCCTCACTGCCACTGTCCAGGAAGTCTAGTTTCTATTTACTAACTTAAAACCAAGTCCTCTTTTATGTGGGGGAAATGCTCGGCCTTATTGCCATTCCTTTCCAGTTTGTTTTCAGTTTTGTCATTTTATTCTGGTTTTGCCAGATCGTGCGCGGTTCTGTTCTTCCAGGAACCCCCACCTCCTTCCCTCCCATAGTCTCATGGCTAACAGCCTCCTCCCCTGTGACACACAATCTCTGCTTTTTCTTTCCCCCAGTTTTTTCCAGGATGGACTCAAAGCCGTAGAAAGCCTCAAGCCTTCCATTGAAACACTCTCCACGGATCTCCACACAGTGAGTAGCCTTCCTCTGTATGGGGTGTCACCGTTCAGGGCCCATTTCTGCAACCTTGTGCACGCCAGCTGTGCTGTCCGGCAAGGACCGGCTCTGGTGTGCCAAGGGGCGGTGTGAAGGCCATCCCCGTGTGTGCTCGTGCGTGGAAATACCATGATCCGCAACATCTAAGGGCACCTTAGTCTTATTTTTCTCTGCTTCGTTTGCTCTTCAAAGATCAAACAGGCCCAGGATGAGGAACGACGGCAGCTGATACAGCTTCGGGATATTTTGAAATCGGCATTGCAGGTTGAGCAGAAAGAGGTGAGGGGATTTAAGACTGGAGGATCACTGTTAAAGCCCCCCCCCCCCCATGCCTTAGAAGCTTTGGGCTGAGGACTTTGACGTCTGTGTTGACGGGGGCTCACAGACTCCTCTGGGACCGTGTCTATTAGCCTGAAATGTCTTTTGCTTTTGAAATCTTAGTGTTATAAGGCCATCTATTTTAGGATACTTCCTTCTAGGAGCAGCAACCACTATGGGCCTGAGTGGCCAGGTGTGATGCTTCTCCTGCTCTGCCACAGTTCAGTCTGTCACATTTAGACCCTAATTCTGTCCCCAGACTTTGTGATTTCCCTGTTCTCTGTGTGTGAACTGCTCCCACTGTGAACCTGTCCCCTGTGTGAACTTTCCCCTGTGTGAACTCTCCCCAGTGTGAACTTTCCCCTGTGTGAACTTTCCCCTGTGTGAGCTTTCCCTAGTGTAAACTCTCTTCAGTGTTAACTTTCCCCAGTGTGAACTCTTCCCAGTGTGACCTTTCCCCTGTGTGAACTACCCTCAGTGTGAACTCCCCCACTGTGAACTTTCCCCAGAGTGAACTTTTCCCTGTATGAACTGCCCGCACTGTGAACTTTCCCCTGTGTGAATTCCCCCACTGTGAACTTTCCCCTGTATGAACTCTGCCACTGTGAACTTTCCCCATATGTAAACTCTCCCCACTGTGAATGTTCCCATGTGAACTCTGCCACTGTGAATTTTCCTCATGTGTGAACTCTCCCCAGTGTGAACTTTCCCTGGTCTTTGGAGGAGGGACAGAACAAGTTCCCTTAAAGGCCTAGCTTGTTCTGTCTTTGAGAAGTTAGGTTGGGTGTAGTGGCGTGGATTTATAATCCCAGCATGGGGGAGGCTGAGGCAAGAGGACCTCTGTGAGTTTGAGGTCACCCGGTGCTGCGTAGTAAATTCTAGGATAGACTAAACTATATAATGATGCCTTGTGTGAAAATCAAATGAAAGATGAGACGAGAGCTGGTAAGATGGCTCAGAGGGTGAAAGTTCTGAGTTCAAGTAGCGAATACAACGGTGGAAAGGGAACCAATTGAAAACAATTGTCCTGCAACTTGCATGCCCATCTCACAGGCTCACAGGTACATATCACACACACACACACACACACACACACACACACACACACACACCACCACCACCACCACCACCAATGCCTTTTTTTTTTTTTTGGTTTTTCGAGACAGGGTTTCTCTGTAGCTAACAATGCTTTTTTTTTTTTTTTTTTTTTTTTTTTTTTTAATAATAAGAGTTGGGGCTGGAGATATGACTCAGCCGTTAAGAGCACTGGCTGCTCTTCCAGAGGACCTGAGTTCAATTCCCAGCTCCCACATGGTGGCTCACAACCATCTGTAATGAGATCTGGCTCCCTCTTCTGGCCTGCAGGTGTACATGCAGAGCTCTCAGACATAAACTATAACTTTTTTTAAAAAAAAGATGTTACCTTTGCATATGGCTCCATTCCAGTGGCAAGCCATCCGTGGTTCTTGTCTGTTTCCCTGGTATGGTGGTGTCTTTGTGTCCCCAGACATCTCCAGGTGGTGATGATGCAGCTTTGGGATTATAATGAATAACTCTGTCTCTAGTCCATCGTTGAGGCTAGCCCTGAACTCCCAGGCTCAAGTGACCCTCCTGCCTCAACCTCTGAGTAGTGGGATATAATGGGAATTTAACGTAAATCCTCTTCCTTTTCGGTAAATTTAAATAACTGCTTATCAAAGCATAGTTCTTAGTCTGTAACTGAATCTTGTTGTTTTTCTCCCAAATGCATTTACCTTTTGTGACCGAAGTCTAGGAGAGTAAGTACCCAGTATTTTCACAGATGGCAGTTTCGCATGCTTCGTTCGTAAACGTTTCTTCATGTAGCTTGACAGATAGTTCACTTCAGCTCTCAGTGTCTCGTCTCTCACTACAGTTGATGGTTTTCCTTAAAAAGACCATAGGATTTGGACACATAGGACGAATGAGATGGAAAACCCCCAAGTTTAGCTTACACTTCTGCTGTCATTCTGCAAGGCCTTCTGGTCCCTGCTGAGCCCTTTCTCAGCAGGGCTACCCCCAAGCGTCTTCTCCATGATGCCGCTTTGCTAGAGATTGCTCCAGCATGGTGACTTTACCTGGTCCAGAAGGCGCAAGCCTGTGACGTGAGCCCCACTGCCGTGAGGTGGCTGCTCCCCATAGCGTTGGCGTGAATGGTGGAGAGATGTTTTTGTCTGAAGAGGCTCTAATCCAGGCAGAAACGACCCTGTTGGAAATGAGGAGACACGGCTGGCTTGGCAGCCGTTGGGGTATAGAGACTATGATGGTTTTGACTGTGCAGAATTTGAGGTCTAAGGAGACCGGCTTTATCAGAGAGCTGTTGGCGATGGTTCTGCAGAGGTATAAAGTCTGGTGGCTTTTTCCTGTGGTCTGGACTAGCCAGCTCATTTGCCCCAGTGGCCCAGGGCCGTGTCAGCGCAACCTCCTTCCTTTCCTCTGGCTTTGTGCCTGCTGACTGCTCTCAGGCCAAATTCTCCTCCAAGCCCCTGATTGTGAGGATGTTTCATGCATCGATTGCTGTTTTGGTGCTGATGCTGAGACCGTGGGACAGTCTGCGGACACAGTAGCACCTCATTAGCAAGTACCAAGACGTCGCATCGTACGTCTTTCCCCATGATGTCTGGGCATGGCTGCTTACCTCTGCTCCTTTCAGTTACGATCTCCCCTGTGACTTAGACTCAGCTGAGATGTTGGGTGGATTTTAGCAGCACTGTGTCGATTCTCACTCTGCCTGTGCACTGGAGAATGGCGTGGATATTCAACCACGGGCCCACAGACCGTGACTTTTAGGCTGGTTGGAGTGGAGGCTTCCTGCTCCCTCTGCGAATCTCAGCTTAAGTCAGTACCGAATGCAGCCATCAGTCGGTGGCTGCCAGCTGCTCTTCCTTACCACCTTGTGGCTGTCCTTCAGTTTGGAGTCCCATGTTTTCTCCCAGTGTTCCTCACACCTCCCTGGTTAGACTGTTTCTCTCTAGAGAGGGTACCTCTGTGAGATCGTTCCCATCGAGAAGAACCTCACATAGAGAAAATGTGAAAACTGGGTATCTGTGCCCCATGCTTGATTTGGGGGGAGGAATCCTTCTTCCAGGGGGTCCTGGTGTCACCTGCACCTGTAATCCCAGCTTCTTGGGAGACAGAAACTGGGGATCTCTGTGAGTTCAAGACCTGCTTGATCCATAGAGTGAGTGCCAGGCTAGCCAGGGCTACACAGTGAGATCCTGTCTCACAAATAAATAAATAAAGCCAAGGGTGTAGAGCACTTACGAGCATGCACAAGGCTCTGGGTTCGATGCTTAATGCCCCCAGTGCCCCTGGATATTGCATGCTCTTTCTGTCAGTCACTTTTGTCTTCTGCTTTCCCATCCTGTGTACATCTCCATGCCCCCATCTCAGTGAGGGCCACATGGGTGGACCTGCTGGGGTGCCGCTGCTAATGAGAGCCTAGATGTGATCCTGCAGGATGATCAGGTTCTGGGAGGTGGGTTCAGGGTTTAGCCGGAGCTCTCAGTTGTATGAGTGCATTGCTCTCTCTCTCTCTCTCTCTCTCTCTCTCTCTCTCTCTCTCTCTCTCCCTCCCTCCCTCCCTCCCTCCCTCCCTCCCTCCCTCCTCCCCCCTCTCTCTCTGATCTCTGCCTCTCCTTTCCAAGTGTCCCAGTCTAGTGGCCAGTGGTGGAGCCTTTGGCTTGTCAAGTAGCAGGCCCTGCTCTGATCCTTGTCTCTCTCTGACTGATTTTTCCGTCTGGATTTGTGACCTTATGCTCAGCCCTAGCTCACTGCTGGCCTCTGCCGAGTCCTGAGCAAGCCTGCCCTGGTCTTGTCTGCCCCAGTGGGAGGACGACTTGTCCAGCACCTGCAGTTCTTGTTTCTTAAGCGGTACACTGCACAAACACCCCAGAATAAAGTGGGCTCAGTGCTTCCTACTACAGGAGTAACAATCTAGACGTGGGGGTGAGAAGAGCGACTTGGGGTACAGCGTGAGAGCTTTAATGGAGGCGTCTGCCAGTGGCCACACAGTTTCTGAGCCAGGACTTTTAGACGATGGCTAGGAGATGTCCCAGTCTCAGGGGTGGAGCAGAAAGGCTGAGTCTTCGTCTTCCACCTTTGCCGGCACGAGAGTGGCAGGGTCTGGGCCTTTCCTGCCTCCGTCTCCACAGAACAGGAATGATGTTCATTTCTGCAGTCGTTAGGATGGCTGAGAGGTTGTGTATGCCGAGGTCTCTGTTCATTAACTCGATACACAGGGACTAGTTCATTTATTCAACCCCTAGATGTAGCAGTGAGCCAGAAAGGCTGTAGCTTCTCATGCTAGTGTGCTCACACTCGGTGCCTGAGCCACGATGGCCAGCCGTGCTGCTGTCCGTCACTGTTGGGATTGTCCCTGCTTTTCTTCGTCCTCTCTGCCAGCCTCCTCTCACCACCCTTAGCCCAAATAACTTTGTTTTTCACTTTGTCCACGTTGCAGTGGTGGTCTTTCTCAACGCTCCAGAGAACATTCTTTCCCAAGGCTTCACCATCACAGGATCTCCTAGTCATTGCTGGGGGCCAAAATACAACCTCTGACCGCCAAGGTGGTTCATTAAAGTCAGCTTAGAAGTGCCAGTAGTACATGGGGAGAAGAAGCTGGGATGGGACTGGGTCACCCACCTGGGCAACAGTACCTGCCACTCCCGTCCCCCAGTACCAGCTCTAGAATTACTGGTGCTTGACATGTTCTACAGCCCGATGGGTGGCTTTATGAATTCCCCATTTTATCTCTTTTCTTTCTTTTCCTTCCTTCCTTCCTTCCTTCCTTCCTTCCTTCCTTCCTTCCTTCCTCTCCCCCCCCTCTCTCTCTTTCTTTCCTTCTTTCTTTCTTGTGTGTGTGATGAGGAACAATTTTATAGTAATATTAAAACATTTAAGCGCATGTTTCTTTTTTATGTAGTGCATTTTTTAAAAGTGGGACTTAAACAAGATGCATTAAGAACAGTTTCTTGACCGAATTTTTAGGACTCACAACTTCGCCAGAGTACAGCGTACAGCTTACATCAGCCTCAGGGAAACAAGGAACACGGCACAGAGCGGAACGGGAACCTGTACAAGAAGAGCGACGGGTAGGTGGCCAGCCCGCTGGGTGCCGAGTTGGGGTGTGCGCGGTTACTTCCTGTGTCAGTGTCTAAACCCTCCTATCTCCCCCTGTTCTCCTCAAGGATCAGAAAAGTGTGGCAGAAGAGGAAGTGTTCGGTTAAGAATGGCTTCCTGACCATATCGCACGGCACCGTGAGTATCTCTCCTGATTCAGTCTCTGCTGGGGGTGGTGGCTGACGTCTGTTCTGTGAGCTCCACTGTAGCGAAGAGGTATTCTGAAGTTTCCCCACTAGGAAGCTTGTGCCCTCATTTGTGGGGTACCCGCAGCCTTGGTGTGTTCTTTTGGTCACGTGTAACCTGGTTGCCAGCTTCACCAAATCCAGGACAAACTGGTCACTCCGGTCACCTTCCTTTAGTAGCCTTTGACCTCCAGGAACTGTCAAATCCTCTGTGCTTGCTAGCGTCAACCTGGACTTCCTCCTTACAGAGAATTCTGCTGTTATTAAAGGAATAACCTTTCTAGCCATCAGAATTTTGGGAACCAGATCTAGAAGACAAGGGAATTCCCTATCTTTCTGGCAGAAATCTCAGTGTTTTCTCTCTATCATCCCGTGTGTAAGTGAGCCCGTGCCACATGACAGAGGCCGGGATGGGCTTGTGTGAGAACGGAGTGTCCTTCAGTCTAGTTTTCAGAGACCAGGAACTCTGTCCCTCACCTGGTGTGGCTGGGGCTGTTGAAGCTGGTCTGGTGTCAACGCCGTCAGTTGTCCTTTCGCTGAGTGCAGACGGTGTCTTCCCCCGCTGCAGGTCTCATACTGCATGTTTGTCGGTCATGACCGTGGGTGGTGGTGAGTCTTTTTCTTTGTCTCCCTTTCTCCATCCTACAGTCCCCTTAAGAGGAGGGATCGGGCAGAAGCACAGATAGAGTATTTTTATTTTTTAGCACTTTTGCTTTTTTTTTTTTCCGAAGCAGGGTTTCTCTTTGTAGCTTTGTAGCCTGTCCTAGAATTAGCTTTTGTAAACCAGACTGGCCTCAAACTCACAGAGATCCACCTGCCTCTGCCTCCCGAGTGCTGGGATTAAAGGCGTGCGCCACCACGGTCCGTCTTTAGCTCTTTTGAGTAATCAAGAATGCTTCACCTAAAGATGTCACAGAAGCAAAGACGATGCTGTGGGAGTCTGGGGAAGGGAGTATCCCCTTCACTTTCGATGAGTCCATTAAGGGCAAGCAAGGCACTAGAACTGATTTGTACCAAGCAACCATGGTCTCCTGCTGCTTCAGCCCTGGGGACTCACTATATCTGTCAGGGTCACCCATCTTCCCATAACCCAAACCGCACCTCACTCCTGAGCCTCGAAGTTTGGACTTGGATGCTCTGTTTCCACACAGCAGGTGGACAGGAGTGAGGGGGTGCGGCTGCCTGAGACTAAGGGAAGCAAGCGTGTTTAACCATGCGGAACGCCAGGAGAACGGCTGGGCCTCACCCCCTCTGCTGCTGTCTTCCCTTTCCACGGTGTCCATTAGTTTGCTTTAGTTCCAGCACACTGCCTCGATGCAGAAATCATTGTCGCATGAGGGCCACGTTTCCTTGCTTACACTCTGAGCACCCATGTCACAAGGAATATTTGCTTTCTTGGGGCCTCTGGGGGGCAGGACCTCCACTTAAGCAGCTACGGGGGAGGGCAGGCCTGGTGATTGATTCCTTCCTGAGTTGGTTCCGAGTAACTTCCAGCGTTCCAGCTTCCTCTCCAAAGTCTTAATAAGAATTCTTTAAATTTTGATGGGTTGCCCCAGTTTTGGAGCAGACAGTAGTTACAATTATCTTCACCAGGCTGCTGCTTCTCCTTACGGTGTATGTATTTTTTAAGAGCTGTGTGCTCTGAGGTGTGCCCTCTCAAGGAACCTCCACCTGGGGGAGGCGTTCTCTGCCATTAGCAGCCACTTCCCGCTATGTCTGTAGGTGGGTCCCGGCTCAGCCTCCACCTAACTGCCTTGGAGGAGCCTGCGTAGCCCACGTGTTGTTCTGTATGCCCTGGCAGTCAGGCTCCTGAGGGGTCCTCCATGTTTCCACTCGACCCAAGTGTTTGCCTGTTGTAGACGTGAATTGTCCGAGCCGAGAGTGAAGACTGGGAAACGCATCATTTGAGGGTTTTTGTCTGCCTCTTGTGTAGCTTGCCCCTCTGGCTAGTGGCCACCATGAGAAAGGTGCAGGTCCCCAAAGGTGGGTCTGGGAAGTGGGGTTCTAAGGGGAGCAGCGCCTGACACAGCTTGGAATAGGGTATGTTGAAATGGGAAGCTCCTGGGGCATCCTCTCACTACCGGGAAGACAGGCCCTTCTGGAAGCTAGTAGCCTCCGAGAAGTGAAATTGCTGCACTTTTTGCTCCCACGGTAACCATCTGGGTACGGGTACCATCTGGGATGGGTACCGTGAGGGTCGGCATTGGTGTCGCCACAGCAAGCTGTTTTTGGAACTGGGACACTCAGTCTTGGGATTAGATGCTCTGATTAGGTGTCTTCTTGACCAAGTCCACAGCATTGCCACTCCACCAAGACCTGAGGGCTGCATTGTGCCTGAAGAGTTGCCAGCTGCCTCTTAGAGGGCCCAACATTTTAGTATGTCTGTCTGTTTGTATGTATGTAGTCCATCTGTTTCTGCCTCCTGAGTGCTGAGATTAAAGTTGTGTGCCACCATACCTAGTTAGCCCAACAGTTATAAAAGTAAATGTTATTCATTTGGAAGGAATAGCCAAGTTTGTGTTTTGAAGGTGTTCTAAGGATTATATAGATTAGTGGTAAAGAGCTTGCCTTTCCTGCATGAGGCCCTGGGTTAAATCCTTATGGCATCAATCAATCAATCAGTGGCTTTTATAAGCCTGGGACATTTAGTAGAAAGAGGAATGGCATGGTTAAGTGGAGGAATCACTAATAACCTCTGCCCTCGTACTGCCAGCTCCAAGGTTGGTAGGTACTTCCCTATTGCTAAAGTTTCCTGCTAAGCCTGGACTGCCTCAGGAAGGAGCCAGCACTGCCCTCCAGCTAGATCGAATAATGACTTTGTTTCTTTCCAAATGGCAGTGGGGGCGGGTGTGTGTGTGTGTGTGTTAGTGGATAGAACTTTCTCTCTTAAATTCCCCTCGCATCTTTGTTGGTAGCTAATAATCCGAACGAGCAAACAGCAAGTGGTTATTAATGTGAAACCTGCCGGGGCTGGTGGTGCATAAGATTGCTCGCCGAGGGTCTGTGGGTCCTTCTTGGCCGCCGTCTTTAATAGGTAGCTATATTTATGGCCTTGAGTCCCCAGTCCAGATGAAGGCCTCAGGTCTTTTCATGAACTTGGTTTTCCTTTGTTGTGAGTGAGAGTTTGTCTTTGGGCGTGATTACCTAGGTAGAGAGAGACAGTGACCCAGCAGGGAAGGGAGGTGGCAGAGGCGGGGAGGGAGGAAATGTCATACTTCTTCATGGTGGCTCTCAGAAGGTGTCCTGGTAGGAGCTGTGGTTAACTGTGTGAGACTGTATGTGATCGAGCCCATTGCAGTCCTACCGTGGATGGGGTTAATTGTCTCTAGACCCTACCCCGTTCTGAGTTGCTAATTGTTGTCTGTATGGCTGTAGCTGTATAGTTGTAGGTGGAGGGGAAATCATCTTCATTGGGAATGAAGCCACTGGTAGGTTTCCTGTGCTCCAGTGACCCCAAACCTATGCACATTTGAGTAGAACTAACTGGATTTAGTGGGTTATCCATAGAAACCTTGCGTGCGCCCTGGCAGAGAGGGCAGTGACCCTGCCTCCTGCAAGGCTGAGACCCAAGGAGCCCCCAGCATTCCTGTGTGTCTTGTCCCTGATACAAACTTCTGCAGGCTAGGAAGGTGTCTTCTCTTGAGGACCTTCTCCCGTTTCCCACTCACCCTGTGTTTTACATTTGTTTCTAAACAGGCCAACCGGCCGCCCGCCAAACTCAACCTGTTGACCTGCCAGGTGAAGACCAACCCGGAGGAGAAGAAGTGTTTCGACCTCATCTCACGTAAGGCCCTTTCTCAGACTGTGCAGTGCTTACTTTACACGTTCCTGGAGAATCAGCCTTTTGAGGAATTGGTCTTCAGGTGTGTGAGGCAGGAGGATTATGAGTTTGAGGTCCATCTAGTGTAGGTTCAGGGTGAGACCGTTTTCCAGTTGCCTGCCTCTTTTGTTTCCAGTGGTGACTTGCCAGGACTTTGGGTTAAGATTGGCCTCTGGAGAGTTCCCACTCCATCTGCTCTGTAAACTGAGAGCCACCCTCTCTGCCCTGAGTCTCAGCTCCCCCACTGGTAAACAAACAGATTGTATTAGGTGAGCCTCAGGCCTCAAATCCTCTTGCCTGCTTTTTTTTTTCAAATGAGTTTTATTGCCTGGACCTTCTATCATTTATGCGTGTGATGTTTAAAATGTCATAAGCGGAGGCCAGGGAGATGGCTCAGTGGGTAAAAGGCCCTTGGCTGCCAAGCCTGACAACCTGTGTTCTATTCCTGGATCCCATATGGTAGGAGTGGATCTGTCCTGCAGGTTGTCCCCTGACCACACACGCGCACCACAGTGCATGCAAGTTCCCTCTCTACCCAAAACACACATTAATATAGAGTGCTACTTTTCTTATTTTTTTTTTAAATGCTCAAAGTGGAAATGATTAGGTCTTCAATAAAGCCCTTGAACTTTAGTGAATTTTTTCCCTCTTGTTTTTTTAAGTTGTTTATTTTTCCCACTACAGAACTTGTCTTTTTCTCCTGTGTTTTCCTCTCCTTTGTGGTGCACACAAAGAAACTGTCGCAGAACCAGCCGTTACAGCAAATGTTTACCCAGAATCCTCCAAAAACAGGAAAGGGATTCGTGATGTCTTAAGGAAAATATGATAGCTAGGTTTTGTCCTTGGTCATTGCACGCGACATGATTACAGTACAGGGAAGGGTGGACCAGTCTGCACTCTAAAGTGGTGCCCCCAGCTGTCCAGCACAGTGGTTGACACCAAGCTCTGACCTGAGGGGCATAGGGAGGTGGTATGTCCCGTCATTTTTAGCACCCTATCCTGCGATCAGCTGCATTCTGACCACATTTTTGAGACCTTGTAGCTAGTGTCATGTGACTTAACACACACAGCAAATCAAGAAGTGTGGCCATGCCATCTCCGCCGTCTGCCCGGCGCGTGCTCCCTGTCTACTAGATTTCCTTTTGTAGACCTCCTGCATCGAGCTGCAGGGAGGGGTGAGCTGTGTGATATGGGAAACCTCTGGGGACTGCTGGTCGGTTATGCTGGGCTAGGGAGATTGCTCAATGGGTTAGGGGGATTGCTCAGTGGGTTAGGGGAGATTGCTCAGTGGGTTAGGGGGATTGTTTAGTGGGTTAGGGGAGATTGCTCAGTGGGTTAGGGGGGATTGCTCAGTGGGTTCGGGCACTTGCTCTGCAAGCCGTGGCCATGTGTGTGCCTTCAACCCCAGCACTGCTGAATCAGGTAGAGATAGGAGGATCACTGGGGCTTGCTGGCCACTAGGGTAGCCCCAGGATCAGAGAAAGACCCTGACTTCAGGGAATGGAACGGAAAATGACAGTGGGATACATCTTTTGGCTTTTACACACACACACACACACACACACACACACACACACACACGGGGTGGGGGTTGAGGTTATGTTGCTTCGAGCTTCAAACCTCAGTCTGGCAGGTTCCATGTGTAGCAGCAGCAAATTCTCTCTGTTACATCTACAACATAAAATGCCGAGCCTTGACTCTGGTTTAAAATGTGACCACTGTGGGCCACCTGCCTCTAGACAGCAGCCAAAGCCAAAGCTTGAGTTAAAGGAAGAAAACTCGATGGTGTCGTTAGATGTCTACTCGTGGCTGGAGAAGGGTTTTTTCCAAACCTTTATTTTTAAAAAAGAAGTAACCTGTTAAAAAGCTGGCTGTTACCATCAGCGTAATTCAGCATAAGATTCTCTTGGTGACTGAGCTTCCTGGGCTTTGGGCATCTCAGCCAGGTGGGGACAGCACCTCCCCCAGCTGTCACCTTCAGCATGACTGGCGGGTTCAAGTGAATAGCACAGGTGTTGAAGCAGTTGCTATGGAACTTTCCATCCTGGGCTCATCAGGTAGGGTGAGGGGCGGGGCACGCACATATTGAGGGCTCAGATACCCCCTCCCCTCCACTAGGGTGTGAATTGTTGCATCCTGAGGATGTGGGAGAAGTGGCCAGTGTGTGAGTCTGGCTCTGCCCCGAGCAGTGCTGTGGACTTCACCAAGGCCCCCCGCTGCTGACTTTGTGGCATCTTCAGGCTTATGAATAACCCTGAGAGGGCCCAGCCTGAGCTGCTCTGTGAACTTGGCTGTAGGCACAGTTCTTTGTTGTGGCCTTGCAGAGCCTTAGTTGTGTTGAAAACCTGTCTCACCCACTTCCTCTGCTTGGTCTTCAAGGGGCAAAATTAATTCCAGTCCCTTCCCAGTTTTTAACTCAGCAGATTTTCAAGATGCCCAAATCCTCCAGGAGTGGCTTTACGTGGGGCTGCTGGGGCCTGAGTCCATGTGAAGAGAAGGAAGTTATCGAGGAAATACACTAGCTGAAGCTCTGGAGTGACTGTCGTCCTGAGAAAGTGAGGGGGACCTGGCTCGGCACCCTGTTCTTTCCTCATGCCTCCTCTGCCTCCTGACAGGTGGAGCAAATGCTATCAGGTGTCTTTGAGCTTAGCAAAGTTGGGAGACAACCGGGCGCAAGAGTCCCAGCTGCCCTCCAGGGCTCCCCCCGCCATCCTCACTGCTCATGCTGCCTTGAAATCTCTCAGGATGACACACTCAGCCACTGCCTCTAAGGCTGTGATCTTGCTCTCCCAAAAGAGGGCTCCCCATTTTGATCAAGAGGCCATGGGAACGTGCCCCTCAAGGGGGGATTTGTCTGTTGTAAAGCCAACCCTTTGGGCACTCGTCCAGTCTCATGCCCTCAGGCTGACTTCCCCTCTGTAAACCCAAGTGTTGAGCCGTTATCCTTGACCCACACTGGCACCCTAGGAAGGGTGGTGATTAGAACTGAGCCAACTTGGCCAGCTCCTGAGCAGGATGGGGCACAGGGACCCTGGTGGCCTGCCTGTCTACATGGCAGAAGCTCATGCAGATCTCCAGAGAGCCTGCAGGTAGAGCATTGTTTGGACATTTTCACACGGAATAACCTCCCACTTCTCCGGTCAACGCTGGCAGAATTAGCCAACAGCCAACCCAAGCCGTACCCGATCTGGCTGTGAAGTAGCTCAGTGTGGGCCCGGGGCACTGGCAGGCCCTCCAGTCTCAGCTTCCTGAAAACTCTGAGCTCCGTGTGGCAAGCTCCCAGCTCCAGCTGTGGACCTGCCCCTCTGGCCCTCTTCCTAGGAGGCTGGCCGGGATCATAAAGTGCCTGGGCGAAGGAGAAAGTGGCCGTGTCTCTTTTCTCACTCAGTTGGGTGCAGTCCAGTGTTTGCCTGACGTGCAGTAGTTTTCTACATTGTCCTTCTCTTCAGTGACAGGTGGGACATAGAAAGGTATTGTTTCGCTCCCCGCCCCACCGCTGGCTTGTTAAGATTTTAAAGAAGCAAGCAAAACCAAAAACAAAACCGCGACCTGGATCCTCCACCCTGAACTTCACTTGTGTCCGTACTTGACCCCTCTTGATGTTTGGCCCCCATCCAGGCAGTTCCTCAGGAGCCCTCCTGAGGCCTGGACCGAAAGTGACTATTGCAGAGCTGTGTCCACCCGTTATCTTTTTAAAGACATTTTATGTGTGTGTGTGTGCATGTGCCCATTTGGAGACCAGAAGGCGACTTGTGGGACTTGGTTCTCTCCTTCCACCCTGTGGGTCCCAAAGATGGCTCTCAAGCTTCCAGTCTTGGTGGCAAGTATGTTCAATGCTGAGCCCCCTCCTCGCCCTCTGCTTGCTTTTAAGGTCATCGATATTTTCTTGTGCCACCAAGAAGAGTGTCACTTGTAGAAGTTAGACTTCATTTTCTTCTCTTTTCAGCTTAGTTTTCTTTTTTAACTTTCTTGTTTGGACCGATTCTGTGCATAGACTTTGTGGCTATCCCTTGCCCAGCTTCTGCATACGTGCGTGTGTGTGTGTGTGTGTGTGTGTGTGTGTGTGTGTGTGTGTGTGTGCGTGTGTGCGTGTGTGTGTGTAGATATTAATAAGCCAGTATGCATTAGTAAAGAAATCCACACTGAGGAAGGACCCAGGCATAGTACTGTGAAATCCTACCCAGAATGTTTTCTACTCACATCCTTGTTCTGGTCCCACGATTCCCCGCCCCTCAGGCCCCCACATTGCATTAAGATCTTATTTAATCTTGGCCCCCAGCGGTCTCGTTTCTGCCCTCCTCCCTTGTCTGTGTTGAACTCTCTGTGTCTTTTGAACACTGCTGTCTAGTTTTGTTGTGAAATGTCTGTCAAGTTAGGTTTTCCCGTGTTGTGAGGACTTAACTGAGATTGCACATTTTTGGGTAGCACAGAAGCGAAGCTGTCCCCCCCCCATGCATCCCCACTGTGCGCAAAGGGTTCACAGCCCCCCCTCCCAACACTTGTAAAACACGGCAGGCATCTGCTGCGGCAGTGTGACCCTGTCTCTTAGATCATTATTTAACCGTGTCTTTTGGGTTAGTTATGCTTGTGACATCGGACTGTCAGAGTGTGGTATTCTTAGAATTTATGATAGAGTATTAATCCTTTTTTCTAAGGGAGCCAGAAAATGTCTAAGATAGCATTTTCTCAGAAAAGGCTCTCGTTCGCCAGACAGATGGTCCACTTCTTGCATCCTGTTGCTAAGTAAGGATGGGCAGGCTGATCTGTGTGCGCTCAGAGCTAGCCTGGTCTACTTAGGAGACCCTGCTTCAAAAAGTGGGAGGGGAAATGCACTTATCAAAGGACTTTAACAGTTCCTTGGGGGCGGGGGATGGCTGTGATGAATATAGAAGTTGTTGGACGTTTGGTTTCTATTCAGTAGCCTTACCTCTCAGGAAGCTGCACGTTTTAGACTAGAATGGGCAGGTTCATCAGTCACTGTGACTGAAGCATTGACACACACCCATGCGTGCACACGCAGACCTGGAGGACTGCTCAGCTTTGTTAATACGGTGGAGAGCACATGGCATCATGCCTTAAAGTCCAAGCCTGGCCTCGCGGTAATAAGTCTCCCCTTGCTGTGCAGATGACAGGACGTACCACTTCCAAGCCGAGGACGAACAGGAATGTCAGATGTAAGTACCGTGGGCAGGGCCAGGGCCAGGGGTGGGAGTGGGTGTGCTCTCCCTCTAACACCCGAGCTGTGGCTGTCTGTCCAGATGGATGTCTGTACTGCAGAACAGCAAGGAAGAAGCTCTGAACAATGCCTTTAAGGGGGACGACAGCACCGGGGAGAACAACATCGTCCAGGAACTGACCAAAGAGATCATCTTGGAGGTGCAGAGGACGACAGGCAATGACGTGTGCTGCGACTGTGGAGCGCCAGGTGACCTGGGACCGCTGCCACGCAGCTCTGGGGCGCTCGGATTCCGCAGGCTTGCGTAGAGCCCGCCCATTGATTTCCAACTGTCATTTCAAACATGAAATCGGTGCAGCTCAGTCTGCTCATCCATTACACAAATGCTTAATGAACTGTGCAGAGCGCAGCGGGGCCTATGGGTGGGAGATGCTGGCCTGCTGGGCCCAGGGCAGGACCATGGGAAGACAGCCTGGTGCAGATGAAAAGATTGCAGTGCTCTTTGAGTAGTGAAGAAAACACCGGTCTTACAGGCTCTGAGATGCTGTGAAGGTCCATTGGGGACAAACCTTTTGAAGCCACTTTCAGGCACACTCTGGCTCTGACACCAGGAAGAGAGCCACAGACTGTCAGACAACTGTAAGATGAGCGACAGATCTCTATTATCTGTCATATCCTGTGTTTGCATTATCAGAGGGTTCATGTTAAGGCACATAGTATCCTTATGGATATTAACAACCAGAACTTTACAGCTTGAGGAATTGACATTTAAATTAAGATAGGGGAGGGCCAGGGAGTCAGGGTGGACACAGTACTTGTCTGAATGCTTGCTTACCCTGGCTTCCCGTTCACTTGGTTCTGTGACAGTTTCTATTGAAAATGCAACTGCAGTAGAGTGGACAGTTAGAAATGCCATTGAGTTCTTTTTTTCCTGAGTTTCTATTTGGTCTCGGATCTATTAGAACTGTCTTTGTGGCGGGAGCAGAGGCAGCAAGGAGAGTGTGCTCTTTCACAGGGAAGAATAAGAACAGTGGAGTACTCAGACGCTTAGAGTGTCTTCATAAAGAGACGATGCTGACAAATGCTAAGGCCACACAGATGGTGTGAAACATGCTGTGTTATCTGAAGGTGTATTGTGCCCCCAAAGCGGGATGCACACAGAATAGCTGAGGTGCCTGCAAACAGGGATGCTAGTAATAATCGCTAATGTGGGTACAATTGTGTGTGTGTGTGCGTGAGTGTGTGTGTGTGGTGTGCACGTATGTGTACTGGGGATTGAATTTAGTGACTTCCACATGGTAGGTAAGCACTGTACTTCGGAGCTAAAGTTCTAGCCCACATTATTTTTTTCCCAAGATTTATCTGTTTGTTTATTTTCCTTGGAGTTGTGTGTATGACACTGGGTGAGTTTATGTGCACCGTTGGTGTGTGTGTGATTCTGGGTGACTTTATGTGCACCACATGTGTGTGTGAGCCTGGGTGAGTTTATGTTCACCACGTGTGTGTGTGGTGCCCATAGAGGCCAGAAGAGTGCATCATATCCTCTGGAATTGGAGTGACAGATGGTTGTGAGTAGTCATATGGGTGCTGGGAGCAGACTTCAGGTTTCTACAAGAGCAGCAGGTGCTCTTACCAGTGAGCCATCTCTCCAGCCCCTCTCCCCCCATCCCCAATTGTTAACAACCAGACATTTTTTAAAGAATTTCATGATGACCTTGGGGGCAAGATCGTCATGTTTGCCTGTGGAGAATTTCTAAAGGGCAGCAAGCACTCCTAGGACATCGTGCTCCATTACGTCTTATTTTCAGTGCTCTGTAGATTCTGCATTTGCCTGTCAAGTATTGGCTGGGTCCATAGTGTACGCTTAGCTCCTGGTGGGATACTTACAGTGAGGAAGTGAATGTCCCATGTGGAGAAGGCGTAACTCGAACTTGGGGAGACACAGAACGACTGTTCACACTGCGCTAGCTAGCAACAGGCCCTGAGCATACAATGAGATAGTGTGCAAAAGTACTCTGAAGTCTAACACTTGCAGTGCGATTGACTCTTCCCCACCCCGGATCCTGAGCACAGCCCTTCACAAGTATGAGTATTCTCTGTTAGTGGTGGTACTTGGAGACCTTATCCATCCCTGCAGTGCTATGCTCTTCCTGCTCCATTCTGTGATATGGTCAGGCAGAACTGGGGTGGGTGCTGCTGGACTAGCCCTTGCAGTCACTGCAGTGTATAGAGGGACAGGGTTCGGAGGAGAAGAATGAACACCTTGTCGTTGGTAGTGGGTTTGGTGTAATTTTAGATGACCAGGGTACCAGCTATATCACGGGTAAAATGCTCTTGTTCAAATCTCTGTGTTCAGCAGCCTGACCGGGAGAAACTTCCGTCTCCTGTTGTCTGACGGCTGACTCATGAGGACCTCTTCTCTTTGGCAGATCCAACGTGGCTCTCCACCAACCTTGGCATCCTCACTTGCATCGAGTGCTCTGGAATCCACCGGGAGCTGGGGGTCCATTACTCCAGGATGCAGTCCTTGACCTTAGATGTGTTGGGAACGTCTGAGCTTCTGGTAATTTGATTTAGAAACTCGTTGATAACGACTCCCTCTCCACTACCAAGGAGCGAGGGCACGTCTTGTTATGGGATGTTATTCATAAATGCAAAGAGTGGAAACGTCTCCAGACAAGGGTCACAGGCTGTTGGAGGAGTCTTCTGAAATGGCTGAGGTGGCAGCGGAAGGCCCATTGCTCCCTTCCACTAACCAGGCCCAGAACCCGAAACCTAAGGGCAGTGAAGGGTTTACCATGCCCAAGTCATCAACCAGTTTCTGGCGAGACTGTACCCGTGTTTGGCTTCCCGCCCCCATTGGCCTTCCTGATCTGTATTAGCCCTCTCAGGAGACATACTGGCTTCTGTTGTAGCCCCTCGCTTTTCTAAAGTAGTCTTCCATGCCTGGCTCACTGCTAATATGGATGCTCTGTGATAGAGGACTGGGGAGATAGAAGTGTGTTTTGAGAAATACCTTTTGGTACTTGATTCTGTGGCCTGACTAAATCATGAGGCCAATTGCACACCTACCTGGGCCTTGGTGCCGCTTCAGAATCTAGTTTCTGTTTGGAAAACAGCGCTCAAAACCATTTTTTGAGAGGACTGGACACTGGGTAGTAAATAGTAAGTGGATATTGATTGCCATTGATTTTACTGTCAAGAGCAATAATCTTGACAGAAGATCTATTCACATGGTCAGTAGTATTCCTTTCATGGGGCCCTACATCTTCCTGACATCTCCGAATCCAGTGTGTCCGTTTTCCTGATGCTTCTGGCTGTCTTGGGGAAACTGCCCTGTCATTCTGAGGAATTCTTTGTTTGATATTGGAAGGCAAGAGTGAGGAAAAGCTAGTGTGGATCTCAAGACAGCACCGTCATTGGTTACACCTTACAAATGAAACAGACTCAGTCCCTCCTCCGGGTGCTCTTGCTTATGAATACAATCCCTGCTGCTCATATTAGGGCGCCTGGCCCACATCTCAGAGGTGTTTGGATGTACAGCATCTCTGGGAAAACTGATGATGGCTCAGTTACTGAATGGCCACACCGAGTTCCCGAGGAAACGGTATCTCGGCAAACTCTGATGGACTGTGGTGATTTCTCCTTTCACTGGTTGGCTTAGAGCAGAGGGCCATATCCAGTGATGTATGGTGAGATCATGGCTTATGCCTTGGATCATCCGATCTCTGTGACTCAGCATCCTTGGTGTAGGATCTCCCACTTTACTGGGAAGCTTTGTTTACAATACTTTACTGTACCCCGGTTCTATACCCGTTAAGTTAACCCACTCATTTTGAATCTGTCTTAGTTCATACTCACTTCTGAGACTTTTGGGATACAACTGGCATTTATGGTGGGTTTTCTGGCCATGTGGGAAACATGTGAGCACCACTCCTGCCTTTCCTCTCTCCCAACTAATGTTAAACAGCCAGCTCCGAGGTGCAGAGAGCCCTTGATTGAAGCCTATTTCCCTGCTGTAAATGCTTCTGTCGCCGCCAGTTTTGAGTTACTCTTGAGAACTGCTGACTGTAGAGCTGGCAAAGGGTGTTCAGAAGCACAGTGTTCTAGCATGCATTTATCACATAAATATAGTGCATATAAGCAACCCAAGACACTGACAATAGGGAAACGTAGTAAAATTTAGAAATGATAAGATTAGTTTTATTTGGGTTTGGGGGGAACAGGGTGTCACTGTGTAGCTCAGACTCTCTCCTTTCTTCTTCCTCAGATCCCTGCATATTTAGAATCCAGGTGTGCCCCAGCTTGCTCAGCGAGATAACGAGTCTCGAATACCGAGTGTCGTCGTTGTTGACATGATTTATCATGCGTTTACACAGTACAGTTTTTAACAGTAGCAATGTTTAGCAGCTGTCTCTCAGAATTCCTAGCCATCTAGTAATTAGCTTTCGAGAGCTGGTAGAGCCGTGCTCCAACACCGATTAATTAACTGTGTCTCAAACGCGGGTCTGGAGAGATGCCTCAGAAGATGATGTCAGGTACCCGTGAGCAGGAGGTAGAGGTGACTGATGTCGCTGAGGTGGATGCTGGGATGCCAGGTCCTCTGTAAGAGCAGTGTGCACTCTTAACTGCCTAGCCATCTCTCCAGTGTACTTTTATTTTATTTTTCTAAGACTTCTTCATAGATGCAAACCAGTGGTGTATATGGTTCTCTTCTTTCTCACCCTTGATGAGGTTTTTGATAAAAAGCTTCTTAGTATGAGGGGATGTGCCTGTCGTCCGCGTGTTGCTGGAGTTGCCATTGCTGGACATTGGTCTTGTTATGCAGTTGCTGTTTCGTGTCTTTGGTCCTTTGCCCCTGAGTCAGGACTGCCTGTGTTCATTCTGTCAAGCTATTGAAGCTCATTAGGTATTTTTGGTTCTCTCCTCATATCAGGTGTTTTTCTATCCCGTAGACGGCCCTTTCTCTTTTTTTGTGCAGAGCATTTCTAGTTTTCCATTTTTGCTTTTGTTGGTGAGCCGAGGCTTTTAAAATGACTCGAGAGAGGCAGCCAGCCCACAAGCAGGGCCTGAATGTATTTTCATTTCTCTTGGGCATTATGTCTTTGACTAGGAGAGAAACGCTCCCCGCTCCTGTCCTCCGACATGACTTCAGCAATTTCCTCTCCAGAAGAGTCCCTTGCTCAGTTCTGTGGATTGTGGCCTGGTTTGCAAAGTTTGTCTGACGCTGTGCCCTGGCTGTTTCTCCACTTTAATTTGCTGTTGTTTGAAAGCACACTTTCCTCGTTGGCCCACTGGATTAGGGCAGCATCTGTGAAGGTGGCTGGATGTGGATAGTGACCACCTCTGCTTTCAGATCACTTCCTGCTCTCTGAAATGGAAGACAGGAAGTTGGAGGGCTCGTTTGGTGAAGTTATGCCACCCCAACCACTTTAGCGGGTCCAATGACCCTTCCACAGGGGCTTCCTAAGACCATTGGAAAACACAGATATTCATATTATGATACAGTGATAGCAAAATTACAGTTATGAAGTAGCAGCAAAAGTAATGTTATGGTTGGGGTCCCCACAACATGAGGAACTGTACCAAAGGGTTGTAGTGTCAGGAAGATTGGGAGCCACGGCTCTAGAGTCTCAGTGAACCTGATTTCAGAAACGCCTGGCAAGCCCGGGTTTTAGAGAGGTGAGATTTCTCCTTAACTTTGAAGACCATTAAAAGCAGCTTTTTGCTGGAGGGAGTCATCTGAAAAACCACATGACCTCCTAGGGCACGGGTATCACGTGACCCATTTCACTGTCATGTGAAAAGTTACATTCCGTAGTTTGAAATTTGGTTTAGAGTGGGGTGTGATGGCTCAGGCCTGTGAGCCTAACTGTGGAGGCTAAAGCAGGGATTGCTGCTGCCGCGAGCCCAGCCTGGGCTACACAGCGGGCTCCAGGCCATCCTGGGCTACAGAGTGTGGCCCTGTCTGAACGGAATGAAGGACACTGACTTTGAAAGCTTTCCATCATGCTGGAGGAATGTCGGGAAGCCTCGGGAGTTGGGTAGCTGACTCAGCCGTCTCTTGCGGTCTCTCAGCTGCACTGTCAGACGCCAGGGCAGCGCAGCCTCGAGCCCTGGGTCTGCTGTCAACGCTGGCATTTGATGGCACTGAGTGAGCTAAGCCGCTCTGGGTAGTGGCTGCGGCTGCTTAGAGCCATGAGATTGCCGTCAGCTGCCATCCACTGAATCACATTCAGGTTCCAGGCATTGCTGTGACTGGTTTTTTTATTTGGTTGTTGGGTTGTTTGAATTTTTTGTTGTTGTTGTTCGTTTGGTTGTTGTTGTTTTTTGTTGTTGTTGATCTTTCTCTCTGGCCTAAGTGAGGCCCAGAGTATGAGAAACTTGCCCATGTAATACACGTGTAACATTCCTTCCACAGGCCGTGTGCAATCCTGTTTGTAAGTCACATGACGGATACGTTTTTAGCTGCAGGCAAAACCAAGTCCACAAGCATCTGTGTCTATTGTCAAATAGATAAGAGAACTGGCAAGGACCACATAAGAGTGTGGCCTTCGTTCCTGCCCTCAAGATGTTTATGCTCCGCCCTTGTTAAGCTCTCAGCATCTCTTGACTCTGCCCCTACTGGGTCACCCCTCTGTGTTCCTGGGCCCACGGGCACGTTTGTCAAGAAGTCTAGCCTGCCTTCCAGCCTTGTACCCTGCTGGGCAGAGCTGGGGATGAATAGAGAGCGAAAACAAACCAGAATAGACCCAGACTGTAGTTGGCAGAGGCCCAGATGGCTACATGGTGCCTGTGTGTGGTAACTGTGTGGTAGTCCACCCCACTGGGCAGTTTGACCAGATCAAGCCTGGAGGAGGAGGAGCCGGCCTCAGTGTTGTGACCCCTGTGGGACCTGAGGGACTTCAGGGGAGTCTGGCTTGTGAGGACTTCTGAATCCTGTCTTCAAGTGAGGGCAGAGAGGTGGAGAAAAGCTAGCAGAGTTGATATCCCTCCTGATGGGAGTAGGAATCAAGAACTCTGCTCCAAACCATCCCAAACTCTAACGGCTGAAGGTTTGTAGAGGCCCCATTTCCCTGCTCTGGGCGTGTGTGACTCACACACAGTCATTGTGGCCGTGAGCACGCTGCCTACCTGGACTTGGGGGCTTTCGAGGCTTTGGGGTAGGAGCTTCTGTTGCCACACCTCCAACACTGTGCAGTTTTTACAAATGTATATTTGTGTTTTACAGGACAACTTTCAGAATTCTCTTCTTGTCTTCCACCCTGTTGAGTGGGTCATTCTTGCTTTTTTCTGAGGGAGCAGCGCTCCAGAAAATCAGATCATTCCTTAGGGATTGCTCCTGGTCCCATTGCCAGTGACCCCACAAACTGCCCAAGCCACCCATTGTCACCTGCTTTCGGGGGGGCTTGATTGGTCTTACTCAGGTTTCCTGGTTGTCTGTCCAGAATCAGTGGTCTCCCACTAGTTCGGGTCAGCTTTTTCTGTGGGTTTCTCCATCATGGTCTTGACCCCTTTGCTCGTATTATCGCTTCTCCCTCCTTGACAGGACTCAGGAGCTCGACCCAGTGGTTAGATCCACAACTAACCACCCTGCATCTGCCTCTCTGCCTCTGCTTTCATTGGTTATTGGATGAAGGTTTTAGGAGATCGTGTCTACTTCCCCTTCTTAGGCAGATCCATGTGTGTCTCTCTTAGGGTCCTCTTTGTTACCTTGCTTCTCTGGCGTTGTAGACTGTAAGCTGGTCATCCTTTGTTTTATGCCTATGGGTCGGGCGGTGGTGGCTCACGCCTTTAATCCCAGCTCTCAGGAGGCAGAGGCAGGCGGATCTCTGTGAGGTTGAGGCCAGCCTGGTCTACAGAGAGAGTTCTAGGACAGGTTCCAAAGCTACACAGAGAAACCCTATCTTATTTCTGCCTCTCTGCATATTTTAGGCCATCTAGCCCATGGGCTTCTGGGTATTTCCTATGTCTACCCCTCCTTTCTTGCCAGTGGGGTGCTAAGATTACAGATTTATGCCTCCACTTCCAGCTCTTTTGGGTCCCAGGGAACAGACTCCGATTGTCAGATTTGCAATGTAAGCCCCTTTACCCACTGCGCCACATCCCTGGCGCCTCTGCTTCTGCTTCTTTTTTATTTATCTATTACTGTTGTTATTATTATTATTTTATTAATTTGTCTCTGTTGTTGGCTGAGCCAGTAGAGAATGACATGATGACTTATGCCCAGTGCCCACCCCAGCTGAGGAGCTCTGTTACATGAAGGGCTCCTCTGTCATGAAGCAGTAGAAAGGGCAAGGGATGGGTCTTCAATTTCACTGTCTTAAGTGATGATCAGGTGGCCCTCTGTATCCGTGGGTTTACCATCTTCATATCCAACCAACCTCAAGACAAAATTATCTAAACTGGGTGCTGGAGAGAGAGCTCACTGTGGAAGAGCACTTGTTGCTTTCGCAGAGGCCCTGGATTCGGTTCCCAGCACCCACACAGTGGCTCACAACCATCTGTAACTCCAGTTCCAGGGGGTCTGATACCCTCTTCTGAACTCTATGGCTGTGGTGCGTACACACACACACATTGAGACAAAGCAAACATTCATGCACATGAAGTAAATCTATAATGTTTAAAAGAAAATTTAGGAACTTCTAAAAGAAAACCGAAATTTCAATTTGCCTCATTCCAAAAAGTCACCCATGAATGAAGTGGGGTGCCAGCTGCAGCATCTCTTCAAGGCCCTCCAGCTCCCTGACCCTTGAGCCTTTGTGCCGAGCCCTCTAAGGTGTCATCTGGTCGTGGGCACGTGCAGGCTTTTCTCCTTGTTATTCCCTCCACAGTGTCAGTTGGCAGCTGCTTCCCTGGCATTGTCTTAGGAATTAGAAGCCATCTAGAGCCGTGAAGGAATTACCCGGGTACCCTCAGGTCTCCCACCTCCAGACAGGGAGAGACATCTGTGCCATTGAACACCCTAGCTACCCCCCTGCTGGCCAGAGTCCCACCTCAGCACATCCCACAGTGCCTTCAGGGGCAGTGACAGCTCTTGTGGCCGGAGCGTAGGTTAACGCCTAGTCCTCTATTGTAAGTATGCTTCCCAGGGGTCTGCTGGTCCCCTTCTTCCCCAGTAAGATCCTCTGGCCTCCAGCTTCCGGGGGTTTTGCCTCTGTTCCAAGTGGTTCCCTGTAGGCTGTTTTATAAATTTTATAAATTGGGTCTTAGCTGATATGGGAGGCAATACGTTCCTCCATGGGGTGTGTGTGTGTATGTGTGTGTGTGTGTGTGTGTGTGTGTGTGTGTGTGTGACATATAGGTGTGGCCACTCCCTGGACCTGCTGTCCTGGTTAAGCCAGCCAGACCCAAGCAGAAGGGATGCTTTCTGAGTCCTGGTAAATTCTCTCCTCCCATCCCCCATCCACTCAATGCAGACTAGGAGGCACTGGGATGGTCACTCACTCACAGGAGACAGTGTGGCTTCAGTCATTACTTACTTATTTATAATTATTTGTTTGTTTAAATGATTAAGCTCAGTTAAAGAGTGGCGCCAACATTCTGTATAGCATAGGGTGCTGAAGCAAGCGAGCTGGGTATACCAGAAATCCCATTATTGATATTTGGTTCCATGACTACTTCTTGCTGCAATAGAACCCTTTGCGGGGCATTTATCTTGTGGTCTGTGTCGTTGGAAGGTTTGTGCCCCCTTCACTGTTTGCTCTGATTGTCTGCATGTCTTCATGAAGGAAACGTCAGTCTGGCTGCCCAGATTTTGCCCTCTTCTCGCTGCTTGAAGCCCTGCATTCAGGTCTAAGCAAGGAGGAGCAGATAATGGGTGTGTCTGGCTCACTGATGGGAGACAGTGTTAAACTAGCAAGGCTTACCACTTGAAGGGCAAGCTGCCCATATTCTATCACTGCCTTTACTGCCTCAGTCTAATGTGACTTCATGCCAGGGAGTCCCTGCTTTCTAACCAAGATCCCTGTGGATCTGAACCTAAGGTAGTTTCTCCTAAGGACCCTTCTGACAGGACACACCTCCAGAATGTCCCTGCCTACCCTTTGTCTGCACAGACTGATTCACGGTGCTCTTATCAATGAAGAAATTGAATAATCTCTTCTTTCAAACCCTTATGCAAGATGCACCCTGTCCATGTTGTTTCGTGACATATTTAAAAATCTGACTGGTGGGCCAACCTGCAGTAGTGGCAGGAATCAGACGTGGAAGCCCAGTTTGGTGCTTGGAATGAGGTGGAGACATCCCCGCTCTGAAGGAGTTTCTGGTCGTGCGGTCCTTCACTTGGCAAATGCCAGGTGCCACGTTGTCACAATAGCATGGCTGTGCCCAGCACAACAGTACTTAGTGAACTTAGTGAATATTGCATGAGAAGGTATGGCTTGAATATTGAAATGTCAGAAGACATAGGGCGATATCCCTTTAATCCCAGCACTCGGGAGGCAGAGGTGGACAGATCTCTGAGTTCGAGGCCAGCCTGGTCTACAGAGTGAGTTCCCGGACAGACAGAGCTGTAGGTCTCGTGTGACATCGCAGTGTTTCGGTTTGCTGAAGGTTTTCACTGAAGGTGCCCCATTTGGTCACTTTTGCAACCCTCTGAGGTAATTGTCCCCCTGGTTCCATGGATAAAAACTGACTCTCCCGTTCGAACCTGGGTTTTGGCTTCCTGGCCCCGTAAATCTCTGTGGCGCTGTCCCTCCCAGCTGGCGTGAAGAGGCTGGGGCCGAGTGAATGTCTGCGGGAGAGCATGTGGGAATGGAGACTCACCGTGGCTCGTGTTCCTGCTTTTCCTGAGGCTGTGGTGACTCGGTCCACTTTCCACAGGATCCTCTTCTGGTCGTCTGTGCGGTCCCCCTTGGGGCTTTGGGTTTCGTGCCTTTTCATTAAAAGCAAACCACTTCACCGCTCTGTGTCTCAGTGGCCATTAAATAAATCATCAGATCTTGAGTAACGGGCAGCAGTGAAGGGTATTAATAATTGAGCGTCCTAAAATAGACTTCTGTCTTTGCAGCTTGCCAAGAATATTGGGAATGCAGGCTTTAATGAGATCATGGAGTGTTGCCTGCCGTCTGAGGACTCCGTCAAACCCAACCCAGGCAGTGACATGTAAGTATGAGCAAATGGTTGCTCTTTGCTGAGCCCTGTGTGCACGGGGACTGGTCTGGGGACATGCCAGCTGTTGCTTCCCGCTGGCTGAAGTTCATTTGTTTTCACTTTGATTTTTTTTTTCTTTTTTAGTCGTTTCTGTGGGTCCAAATAGAAATGCGGTGTGACTGGTTTTGTTAGGTGACCAGGGGACAACAGGCTTTTTAGCACCTGAGCGACTTCCATGTACCTCTGTGCCCCTTGCCACGGTGCTTTTTCTCTGTCCGGTTTCCCAGCATGGTGGATTGTGCCTAGTCATCACAGACAGGCTACATGTGCCATTCTCTCTGTCAATGTCCTTCAAGATGTACAACTTGTCCCCTCCAGAAACCCTTTTTGTGTTTCACTGTGGATACGAACTGTGACCCACAAGCTAGTGTGCCTCATTGTGGTTCCAGCTGGCCACTGATGGACCATATACATCAGGGATTGCCTGGTGGTTTTAACAGTGTTTCCTTCAAACACACTGAGCTTGAGGAGGTGGACAGGGCAGTGCCATGCTGCCCCTCAGACCTCATCCCTGTTTCTTAAAATGGCCGGCTTGCCCACAGAAGGGCTTGGGGGTGGTGTGCCTGCCATACCAGAGTGTGATGCAAAGCGAGGCAGGTAGTAGAAGAGGAGGACTGGGTCTGAGGCTCGCAAACAGACACCGCCTGTGTCTGAGCAGCACAACAACATGGGGAAAGTGGAGAGGACAGGGGAGAAGAGGAAGCTTTGCCATCTGTAACACAAACTACGTTTCACTGGCATGGGCCTGGCGTTGAGTTAGTGGGAGAACAGTGTGTAGGGTCTGTGCACGGCAGAACACTTAGGTCTTTGTAGCTGTTCTATTTGGGAAACTGAGGGCTCAGAAGGGTAGGACCTGTATTGTTGTCTTGCACTCTGATCCACTGAGGACATGGAAGCATTCCAGGGGGCGAGTAGGAGGCTGTCATTCGTTGTCCACCTTGGGCGCCAAGTGTCTCAGACCAGCTGTGAGCTGGTGTTTGGTTATAGTCGGTCTGTGTTTGCATCCCATCGTAAGTGAGCATTTGGGACATAGCTTCTCCCAGAGATTGGATAACATGGTTGTAAAGCATTGTCTTCTGCATATGAGATGCTAATTTCAGATCTGACCTGGAAAGCCAGGATTTCCTGTTCTTTTTTCAGGCGACGAGGTAGGGCAAGTTCTTTGCAGTTTGAGTCTAAGCCCCAGTTTCTCCCATAAAAAGGAAGAATATGCTGTCCACCTCAGAGAGGTATTGGGGAAATCAGAAAGATGGTTTGCAGTCAGCCTTCTCTTGGGATCCACGGGTGCACAGTACCTTCCCGGATAACTGGAGGACCACACTTAGTGAAGGAAATGCCATGGTCCAGCATGCTGAGTTTAGTGATTACTGGCGCTTGATGCTGGCTTTCTGGTTGTTTGTCTCTCTTTGTGACACCAGTCTCCTGGGAGGCTGTAATGCCAGTCAACTTTAAACAAAGACTATAGTAACTTTTCCATACCAGGATTAGAGACTGGAGAGGTGGCTCAGTGGTTAAGAGTGCTTGCTGCTCTTGCAGAAGACCTGGGTTTGGGTTCCAGCACCTATGTGGTGGCTTCAACAAGTCAAAACTCTAGTACTTGAAGCTCTAATGCCCTCTTTCTGGCCTCTGCAGGCGCCAGGAAATGTATATGGTACACATACATACATGCAGGCAAAAACATTTATACACATAAAAAAAAATAAATGAATCAATCTTTTTTTAAAGAATTACTTATAAAAGCGGAACTTAAAAAAATTACTTATGAAAGCAGAACATCTGTTTCTTCTAGGAGTAAATGAGCCTAAGAATGAATACCACCTCTCAACATCTGTGCTTAATCCTCTGCGAGGTGCACACACGCGCGTGTACACACACACCCTTGACACTTCTCACAGGAAGTATACACCTTCAGAAATGAGGGTGAATGGCTGTCACAGTGATGAAAACACGCTCCCAGTCATTCTTCCGCAAGTGAGATGATCCCATGACCGGCCATGGTGGTCCATGACCGTAATCTCTGCAATGGCCAGGTTAGGCTAGCCTGGACTATATAGTGAGTTCAAGGCTAGCCTGGGCTACATAGCGAGTTCAAGGCTAGCATGGGCAGCACAAGAAGACCCTTAGTCTGACGACCCCCACCCATCCAAATAAAAGACGATTAATTGTATGACTCTTTGTGTGCCTCCTGAAGCCAAGCCGGCTGGTTCTTACAGCATTCCTTCTCACTTGACAACATATTCAAGTTTCACATACTGTTCTCAGGAATTATGTTCCATTCATTTTTGTATTTGCCACCACAGTATGTTGCTTGTGATTCGGTAAATATTTAATGGCTCAATAAATCAAAGAAATAGCCCCTGCTCTATGCCAGCTTCATTCGGCGAATGTTTTACGCCTAGGTTTGATAGAGTGGGCTGCTTGTAGCTTGATGTAAGTACACACGATCTTCAGCCATATGCTGAAGGGGAAACCAAAGGCACCCACTAATGGCCTGTGAACCCCCAGTTGGGAGTGGAGGCAGGAAGCATGTGTGACCGGGCCACCCAGAGGCCAGACTGCATCTGCTCATAGAGGCAAACCAAGAAGCAGCAGGAAGCCCCACCTCCACTCCCCACTCCCACCCCCAAGAACACCAGATGGATAGGTCTGCGGTGGTCTGTTGCTTCCCACCACACAGCCCAGTCTATGCATTTTTTAAAAGCCGAGAGCACACTAATAACACAATCTATCTTGATTCAATCAGGGGGTCACAGAGATCTGTCCCATGTTTGGGTTGGAACCACCTCCAGGGTACTCAGAGCCCCAGATACATAAATATCTGTTTAAAAGCACAAAAACAGCATCTGATATGGTGGTGTACACTCAAAAACCCAGCGCTCTAGAAGCTGAAGCCGGAGGATTCTGAGCTTGAGGCCAACCAGGGTTATATAGTGAGACTCTTTCTTTTTAAAAACAAAACGAAACTAAACAAACAAAAAAAAAAGCCTAGAACTTCAGACTGGAGAGATGACTCAGTGGTTAAGAGTGCCTACTGCTTGCCAGGTGATGGTGGCGCACACCTTTAACCCCAGCCCTTAGGAGGCAGAGGCAGGCAGCTCTCTGTGAGTTAGAAGCCAGCCTGGTCTGTGGAGTGAGTTCCAGGACAGTCTGGGCTGTAACTTAGAGAAACCCAGTCTCAAAACACCCCCTCAAAAAAAAAAAAGTGTATAATGTATTGAGTTGAGTTCTCAGCACCCACGTCATGGTTCTAATTCTGTACCTTTAGTTTGAGGGCATCCAAAGGCCTTGTCTTCGTGTCTTCCATGTGTCCTCCCCACCTCGTTTCCTGTCCTTCTGGAGATGAGAGGTCATATGAGCAGTGGCTTTTGGCCTGCTTAACTCACCAGCCTCCCAATGCTGGCTTCTAAGAATGGCGTCCACTGCATCTTACAATGCAGGTGTTGCACGGCCCAGGCTTAGAGGAATGCTGTCTGTGAGCAGCAGCAGAATGGCAGAGAGCTGCCTGCTTCTGTCCCTTTCTCACCTGGAAGGAGAGGATGTCGGGAGTGTTTCAGAATGCCGAGCGGACCATGCACTCCTGAATCCCAGTGTCTGTGGGCTGGGACCTCTGCCATTTGAGGCGTGGTAACTGAACATTGTCATTTAGTTTACACTCCCTGCCACTGATGAATGAGTGATTTTTATGGCACGCATGAAGACTGCAAAGGAGAGGGTGTAGATATGGCTGTCTGGTAAGTAGGAAGGCACAAGGAAAAGGCCCAGAAGAGGGCACATCAGGGTGACCAGTCCGTGTGAGGAGGTGGCTTGGGACAGCTGAAGGAGGAACATGTGGGTAGAGGGATATAAGCAAGATAGGCGAAGACACGGGTTACGTGCAGGGACCGCAGTGTGCTGAGACGAGAGCTCAGGGTCACAGGAGGCACAGCAGCAGGCAGCTGAGAGGATGTGAAGAAGCCACACCCTCAGCTTCTGTCTTTACAGCTGCGTGAAGCTGTTCACGCCTGTCCTTAAAGAAAGAGCCCACAGGGCCCCAAGAGGGCCGGGTCACGTTGAGATGTTGGGCTAGGCGGATCGGCCGAGGCCTTCAGTGTCTCACCCGTCAGCTATGTCTGGTTTCAGGACCGCGCGGAAGGACTACATCACAGCCAAGTACATCGAGAGGAGATACGCAAGGAAGAAGCACGCTGACACCTCGGCTAAGCTCCACAGCCTTTGCGAGGCCGTCAAGACCAGAGACATTTTTGGCTTACTCCAAGCTTACGCTGATGGTGTGGACCTGACAGAAAAAATCCCACTGGCCAATGGGCATGTAAGAGGGGCTGCAGAAGGATGAGAAATTCGGGGTGAACAAGGGCGGTGTGCTCAGCCATGTTATCCTCCATTATTGTGCCCTCCCTGGGCAGAATAGGTGGCATGTTTTCTTTTCATTGGTAAATTAATGTGCCGGTTGAACATATTTTATCCTACTTCCTTGGGCCAGAAGTGGTTTTAATTTGGGACATTTTTTTAGGCATGGAAATACTTGCTATATAGTGAGATCTTAAAGGTTGGCACAGCCAGCTTGTGTCTCTCAAATGCCGCACACATGGAGGTGATTTTATCCAATACTGTCCCTGCCCCCCGTTTTGACATCTGAGCTCAGGTGTGGGATTTTCTGCCTGTCACGGAGTTTGGGGTTGTGTTCTGTTTTGGATTTGACTTGCATTCAGAACGCCCAACCTGTTTACCTGCAACATTGTGATGTGCAAACATGGCGTTTTGATGTAGATTCACAATGTGGAATGGCCGCAGTATACGTCATCTCTTATACTTACTTTTGCCGTGGACACATTTCAAATCTACTTGACAATTTTGAATTTATAATTCTGATACATTATTAACTATAGCCGATACTATGCAACAGGAACTCTCCTCACACACACCTTTTTTTAAAAGGGTCTCACTCTGCTAACAATTCTCCTGCCTCAGCGTCCTGGGTACTGAGATTACATTTGTACACCACCACACCTAACTGACTCCTTTCAAATGGAACCTTTCTATGTTTCTTTTTTTTTTTTTAAGAAAAAAAAAGGCTTAATTTAATTTTCTGTATATGTACCTGAATGTATCCTCAGAGGGCAGCAGAGGGTGTCAGATCCCTTGGAGCTGGAGTGACAGGTGGTTGTGAGCCTCCTGTATGGGTGCTGGGATCTAAACAGAAGTCCCAATGAGAGCAGCAAGTCATCTTAACTGCTGAGCCGTCTCCTTAGCCCAATCAGTTTATTCTGAAGCCAAATGAGTAATGTCAGATGTTGAAGGGAAGCCCATCTGAGGTGGAAGGACTCCATCATCAGAAGCTTAAAAGCCTAAGAGGACCCTCCTTCCCGTAGACGGGTTAGTGTGGCAGCTGGTCTCAGAGCATCTCTGGCCAGGACCATCTTGTAGCTCACATTCTTGGGGTCCTCCCAGAAGGGATGGATACATCACCCCCTCCAGCATCCAGATGATAAGTACTCTTGGGATTGTATCTGTGTTACACTGCTGGTACCTTAGGACCTGTCGAGTCTCCTGGTCTTTCTGACAGAATCCCCATGGGCACATGTTCCAGGTCCAAAGAGCCTCCTGGTCTCAGGACTGGGGTCCTCATCCTGTGTGGTCAGCTACTAGGTAGGGCCATCATGTTTGGACCCAGGCTCCTAGGCTAGATCCCACGAACGGGAACATTATAGTGTAACAACATTTCCTCCTAGTGACACAAGCTCTTCCTAACGTTAGCCACTGTCATTCCCATTCGTTCTGAGGAGAAAACTCAAGCCCTGTGACTAGGGCAGAACGTGCCCACACTGCCCAGAGGACAAGTAAAGAAAGAGGCAGCCTCCCTGTTCGTGCCTTTTGCTGTTTGGATTTTTGCCTTTCCTCTAATTGTGACCCACCCACCCACCTTCTCTCTACTTGTGGTATTGATGTTGGGATGGGGACACAGCTGAGATGATTGGAACCTGAAATGCTCTGCATTTCTCAGGCCTTGTGATTAGGAGGGAAGGGACCAACCTCTAAGGTACCCTGTTAGTGTTACTCAGTTACTTTTCCATGTCTGTGCTAAGACACCATGACCAAGCTCCTTATAGAAGAACTTTGTATTTGGGGCTTGCGGCTGCAGAGGGTTAGAGTCTGACCATCATGGCGGGGAGCATGGCAGCAGGCCGGGAGGTAGGTGCTGGGGCAGTAGCCGAGAGCTCACAGCTTGAGTCACGTCCACAAGGCAGAGGCAGACCGACTGGACTGGAAATGTCACGAATCTTTTTAAACCTCAAAGCTCACCCCCAGTGACACACCTTTTCCACCAAAGTCACACCTTCTAGGGATTTCCAAGTTGTTCCACTAACTGGGGACCAAATATTCAAACTGTGATCCTATGGGGGCCATTCTCATCCAATCCACTAGATACGCCTCTTGGTGTGGTGGTTGAAATGTGGGCACTCTGCACCATAGATGGCCGTTTTGGGGGAAAGGCTGTTGCACCTTGACGGTCCTGGGGTTAAAAGATGCCACTGGAATTGCAAATGTCTTGGTTTGAATTTCAGGAGCCAGATGAGACGGCCCTCCATCTTGCTGTCAGATCCGTGGACCGGACTTCTCTTCACATTGTGGACTTCCTGGTCCAGAACAGGTGGGTGTCGCACTAAGAGGATGTCTTTGTTCTAATTCTTGGGGCTTCCCAGCAAGGGACCAGATGCTGTCTCTGCTGCTTGGGCTCTGTTGCCAAGATGCTTATGCATGTCTCAGGTTTAAGTATGAATTATGGGGATTCCCTAGAAAAGCCCAGAGTAGAAGAGAAGGCCTTCATGGTACCTGTAAGATCCAAGATACAGAGTCTAAGAGAAGCCCAGGGAACTGTGGCTGCTCAGATCCCAGCCCTGGGGAAGACCGTGTAGGGGCCAGGGCCATCAGCTGTGGCTTGAGCTTTTCTCTGGTTTGTCATGTGGGTGGGTCTTCCCCCTATAAGTCCCCACACAGCATCTCAATAGCAGAGAGCTATGAGGAAGTGAAGATGCATTAGCCCCTGGCCTAGGCCGGGAATTGTACATCAGAAGGAGAGACTTGCAAGACTATCCGCCCTAAGAAACGGTGATGCTTGTGAAGCCCAAGTTCACAGAACTCAGGGGTGGGTCAGTGAGACATGCTCTCCTCTGAGGCCAGCCCAGGGCCTGATGTGGGATGCTGGACATTTGATAAGTAGCCAGTTTGTATCTCCGCCTCTGCCTGAGTTCTTCTGTGGCAGCAGCCTGGTTTGGCCTCTTCTGAGATAGAAGGAAGACAGCCATAAGGATAGGAGGCAGTTTTGGGGTGAGTTCAGTGGTAAGCACTTGCTTCACATGCCTGAATCCCGCGTTCCATCTCCAGCACTGCACAAAGAAAGGAAGTGGGGGGGGTCTGAGGTGTCCCTACACTGAGGCAGCTGTTTTCCTTTTGCTGGGAGCAGTGGGTACCATCCCCAGGGTGCTTCTGTCCCCATTTGTTAGCCTATGGATGCAAGGATCCTGTCCTTTCTCAGCAGCGGTGACACTTTGGGTGCTAATCGCTTTTATCACATATGTGGAACACATGCACCTTTGGTTTTGGATAACCTGGTCTCCTTCTATGATAGAAGAACACGTGACAATCTTCAGAAGTGTCCCTCTTCACCTGCTTTCAGGGGCCTAGGGCCAGGCTTGCAGGAGTCCCGGGACACTAAACTGCAGAGTAGTATTCCCTTCCTAGATGGAAACTTCAAGAAACAAAATGAAAGGGGCTTGAGGGATGGCTCAACCGTTAAGAGCACTGGGGACTCCTCCAGAGGACCCGGCTTCAATCCTCAGCACCCACATGGTGGCTCACAACCGTCTCTAGCGCCCATCCTAGGGAACACAATGCCCTCTTCTGGTTTCCATTGGTATCAGGCATGCACACATGGCTCAGACATACATGCAGACAAAAAACCCATACGGATGAAATAAAATAACCTTTTTTTAAAACAATGAAAGAAAAGAAAAGGAACAAAATGAAAAGTTTGCTTCTTCTCTGGTGTGACAGGAGGGACATTGCTTCATAACTGTAATTTGCTACTGCTGTGAATTGAATTTTAAGTATCTGACATGCAGGCTGTCTGATACCTGCCCCCTGTGAGAGGATCATCTGACCACCAAGGCGTTGCAATCCACAGGTTGAGAAGCGCTGCTCTAGCCCAAACTCTGCAACAGCACAGCCACCTTTCATTGTTGGTCTTCTCTGTCTTCGTTGCATCTGAGCCTGCTCGTTCCCTGACCGCCTTCACAGTGGTACCCACCCACTGTGGAGATGACTGTTCTGCTAATGCACGTCTCCCCACGCGGGGCAGTCCTCTGGCCCATGACTCTGTTGTTTTATCTCTCTCTGTCTGTGTTCCGAGCAGCGGGAACCTGGATAAGCAGACAGGCAAGGGCAGCACGGCCCTGCACTACTGCTGCCTGACCGACAACGCCGAGTGCCTCAAGCTGCTCCTGCGAGGAAAGGCGTCCATCGAGATAGGTGAGCTGCCTGGGGTGCGCTGGGGTGTATGTGGCGGGCTCTGCTGGCCCCCCTCGACCTCCTTTCTACAGCTCTGCACTTCTCCTTACCTGTCAGAGCGGCAGAGTGACGTGACAGGCTCCGCCTACTGTCTGTCTTAGCCTGTGGCCACACCGGCAGCCCTCAGGAATGCTGAGGGTAGGCCTCGCAGAAGCCCTGAGCTGGGTGATTGTAGAGCGGCTGTGTAGCAACCCTGGCTCACCTCCCAAAGTCAGACTAAGCCTTTTGAGGCAGGAGGTGCTGTCACTGCCCCCTCCTTTCGTTTGTTGTCCTGTAACAAGTCCTATCCCTTGCCCCTTGTTCCCCTCGGTTGCCGGTCCTTGACCTGCTGATCCCACCAAGGCACAGTTTTCCCTGAGCCATCCAGCTGTGGCTGGTTCCTGGGGAAGTATTCGGAGAACTACTGAACCAGACGAAAAGTAGTTGAAAAGATGGATTCTGCTCGAAAGCCACACTACAGAAGCTAATCAAGGCAGGCGTGGTGGCACATGTACTTGAGAGGCAGAGGCAGGGGGATGACTGTGTTTGAAGCCAGCTCAGTCTCTGCAGCGAGTTCCAGCAAGGCTGAGCTATTTAGAGATACCTTGACTGAATTTAAAAAGAAGAGGAAAGAGCAAAGCCCAAAAGAAGAAAGGGCCAGCTCAGATGTCTGACCTACAGGGCTCACTACCTTCTAGTGGGGGGGGGGGGCGGGGCGGGCAACTCTGCATGCTCTTGCCCTCTAGATCGCTTGTAACTGGGGTCATGGCTCTAGTTTGTTGGCTGCCTCAGCAGTTCTTAGGTAGCGCCATCCTTTCTTTCAAAACCATAGCTTCTCTACGCTCTTGTATCCTGTACGACTAAATGGCAGCCAGCCCTGCCCAGGTTAACCTGACGGCATCCCGTAACTACCGCTTTCTTTAGTGAGGTGTCCCCACACTGCACGAGATAGTCTTCATTATCAGCTTCATGGGATTTGGGATTACCATGGAAACCAGTCTCTGGGCGTGTCTCCAAGGGTGCTTCTAGTGGGATGGATGGCAGCATCCCCTGTGCTGTGGCCCTGGACCTACTGAACTGAGATGGCGCTCCAGAACTCAGCAGAGTTCCCAGGCAATAACACACAAAAGGCTGAGAAACGCTTAATGATGAGTTCAAGATCCAGGCACCTCCACAGCACCACCAGCTGGGGACCGAGCCTCCAACATCTGTGTCTCCGTGGATGTTTTATATGCAATGCGTAAGGCCAAGTTCTGATGTCTCCTTACCCTCCCTTGACTTTCAGCCAACGAGTCAGGAGAGACGCCGTTGGACATCGCCAAGCGGCTCAAGCATGAACACTGTGAGGAACTGGTGAGCATCCGCCATGGGCAGATGGCCTGGGACGTGATGGAGTCGGGGGCGGGGTGGGGTGGAGTCAAGCCCGGCTCCCTGGACACTGACAACAAGGACAAGGCACACACAGCAGTATACACCTGCTGGGGTAAGCCCAGTGCTCACTGACCTGGAGGAGCTCTCAAGAACCTTCAGGAACCTTCCTTATCCAGATGGCTACCCCTTGTGGTGAAACTTGTGACTCAGTGTGTGCTTATTGGCCATGATGGTAGCCCTGGCTCCTCAGGCAGCCGGAGGAAAGGATGGACCTCCCACTGTGTGGTACCCATGAATGCCTGGCTCTCGCCAGCGTGTGCAGCCAGCTTTCCTACTTGTATCCTTCAACCCAGAGCTTGCAGGTTTTCTGTGCTTTGTTTCTCTTGTGGAAATAGAGTAGCTGCGGACAGTGGAAGGCTCCCCAGTCCTGGGCTTGCAGTGGGCTGTGCCTCACTACAGCTTGGGGAACACCCACCCAGGCTGTTTCCTCATTTGTGAATCTGAGTTAGTTGTACCTCTTTGCAAAGTTATCGTCAGAATTGCTGAATTTTATTAACGCAAATACACTATGAGTACTCAGCCTCCATGCCGCACAAGTAGACGACAAGCAAAGGCGCTGGTGTAGACTCCACCCATCCAGTTATGTAACCTCACACACACACACACACACACACACACACACACACACACACCGTCTTTGGATGAGGAAGCAGGTACAAAAGAGTCAAGTGACTCACTCAAAGTCACACAACTGACTCTTGGGAACAATTAAGCCCAAAACATCAACTACACATAAGAAATTGGCGTACCTCCTGTACAGATGGAGTGGAATTAATCGGCCACTTTCTCTGAGAGGACTGAAGAAAGGGACATAATTTCCTATAGGGCTTATTTCTCTTGTTGTGAGAAGACTGGCTTGGTAGCGAACTCATTCCCTCTGAGGTCCAGTTTCTCCCATGCTGTACTAATACCTGTAAGATGGTCATCACCTTTTAGGTCCCCCAATCCCTTGCCTGTGTGGCATACCACATGGTTTCCAGAGAATCACTGACAGGGAGGTTTGGGTTATCCTGCATATCAGGTCCAGGGACCGCCAGGAAGATCGGGGATTTAACGAGCTATCCTGGAGCAGAGTGGAATCTCCCCGTGGGTCCTCCAGGTCCTCCTCCCTGACTTGTTCATTCTTGGCCTGGAGAGCCATAAGTGTCTGTCCTTTGTGGTTGAGCACGGGGGCAGCAACACTAACTGTCCCTCCTCGTCCTTAGCTGACTCAGGCCTTGTCAGGAAGATTTAATTCCCACGTTCACGTCGAATATGAATGGCGATTGCTGCATGAGGACCTGGATGAAAGCGACGATGATGTGGACGAGAAGCTTCAGGTCTGTGCCTCCCTCGTGAAGTGTTTCCGTGGCCTTATGGCTTCCGTGGCTGGGTGGCTTCCGTGGCTGGATGTTTTGTGTGCTCATTGATCTCAGTGGGATCCAGGCTTCCCCTTCCGGTTTCTCTCCCAGCCTCCTCTCCAGCCCACACCAATGGAAGAACGGGCCAGGCGTTCTACGATTGTAGGTGGCTTGTGGGGGAGAGCACCCTGCTTGCCATGGAGCCATTATATAGCATCAGGTCCTGCAGGCAGGTGACACTGTTTATGTGGCTAGTCATGTTTACCCGAGTGACCTTAGAAACCAGCACATGGGAACTACTCAGCTGCCTTTAGAGTTCACTGGATTCAACTCCTTTTATTGGATGGGGACTTCAGAGTCTCAGGAGAGGCTGGCTCAGCCCGAAGGACATAAGTGTTTTCACACAGCCTTGGAACGAGCATAGAGCTGTAGTCCTAGTCCAGTTCCCTCTCACACACACAGCCAAGCACACCTTGGGGGTACCTCAGGACGATGCCATCTTCACACGGGTCTGTGGTTACACAGCCAAGAATAGGCAGCCTCCCTCCAGTCCTTGTTACGGCCCTTCCTAGCTCCCTCCACAGCACACTGCCAGGTGTGCAGTATGTTCTCTAGGAACATGAGAGGAAGGACCTGGTCAAGCACATTTTCATGGTTTAATGTCTCTTCCCCCATACAACTTTAATAAAAGTATAATACATGATCAATAGATACAAATGGAAGAAAGCATTTCTGAGGGCTGTTGAACCATCTGTGATAGAAAAGCCCGTAACATCCATTCTTAGTGTTTCCTACAGTATGGATCTATAAATGACAGAACATGGTTGTAGCTCAATAAATACTTTTTCCTTTTTTCTTTCTTTCTTTCTTTTTTTTTTTTTTTTTTTTTTTTTTGCCTACAGGATATTTTCTTGACTCAACAAATCTTTATTTATAAAAGCACTAAGGTACTTCTGCCAGTTCTGAGGACCTGAATTGGATCCCTGGGGCTCACATGGTGGAAGGAGAGAACTGAGTCCCACAGTGTCTTCTGGCCCCCACACGTATACCAATACACATACACAAAGAACACACTATTTTTTTTTTAAGCAAGCGATAACCCAGGAATCAAGACTTAACTGCAGTACCCCCGATTTACGGGGCCCTCAGCAGCTCAACAGTTCAGAGGAAAGCGAAAAGGACTTGTTCTTCTGCGCTGAATTAAGCACAGTATTGGTAGAGAGCGAGCGCTGCTCGGTGGCCGGGGCCGCTCTGTCCCTTAAGATAGTGTCTTAGGGAAGGGATCCTCAAGGACAGCATGTAGCTAGGCTGAAGTAGCTGGTTGGTAAGATGAAATAGCTTCTGTTTGAAGTCCTTCACAGAAGAAAGACTTGCAGTTAGTAAATCATGGCTCTGTAGGTGTGTGTGTCTTGATTATAAGACAGGAGATGGGTGGGATTTAAAATCCTGCAGCTCAAATGAAGTGACATATGTCAGGCTGAAATGATGCCTACCACGCAGCCGTGATGGCTGCATCTCACTGTTCACAGAGCTGATATCACGCAGGGAAAGCCATACCTCCAGCTCATGCTCTCACCCTCGGCATTTCTCTGCAGCCCAGTCCTAACCGGCGAGAGGACCGGCCCATCAGTTTCTACCAGCTGGGTTCCAGCCAGTATCAGCCCAATGCCGTGTCTTTGGCCAGAGATACCGCAAACCTCACCAAGGACAAGCAGAGGGGCTTCGGGCCCAGCATCTTGCAGAACGAGACCTACGGAGCCATCCTGAGTGGCAGCCCGCCCTCCTCTCAGTCGTTACCCCCCAGCACCACCAGTGCACCCCCGCTCCCACCACGGAACGTTGGCGGCAAAGGTATACGATGTTGAGTCCCCTTCAAATGCCTATGGGCTTTGACTGAGAAGTTTGATGCATGGGTGTTTATTCTGTAGCTATTTTCTCTCTGCTGCCTTAAGGAATTCCCTCGCTCTCACCTTGCCAAACCTGTAGAGATTGTCCTTGGGTTCTTACTCTGGCAGAGGAAGTGTGCAGGGTGATGCAGGGCTGTCCCAGGCCAGCCAGAGGTGACAGCTTGCAGCTGGCCAGCTAGGATGCCCTCCGCTGCCCGTCCCACCGTGCTCTCATCTGCTCCCCTCTTGGTCCCCTCCCGGTGTCTGATGATTCCCTTTCTTCTTCCTCTGGGCTAGCTTAAGACACACGAGGACTTTGTGTGTCTAGCATACCTTTGAAATGAAGGAGTTAAAGTAGTAACTTGGGGGACAGTGCTCAGCCTAGCTGTAGGAACCACAAATGTTTGAGCCTTCCTGATGTGTGAGCAGCTCAGGAACCTACCCCATCTGAACATAGCAGGTCCACTCAACAGGTGACTTTTTTTTTTTTTTTTTGCGTGTGTGTTTGTTTGCTTTTTTTGCAAATACGGAAACACAAAAGCGTTTGTGTGAAGAGCACCCAGCCACTCTGCTTCTTGAAGTGGCCAGCAGATGGCCAGCCCTGCTCTGACAGGCTGCCAGTCTTAGGTGGTAGTCTCCAGGGCCTCCAAGGTCAAGGAGGGGCTTCCCTGGAAAGAATCGTAGTTTCCACTTGCTGTCTCTGGGCTGTGGCTGCCATGCATAAAAACGTTGCAAATGTTCCCTTGCTGCAGCCGGTGGCGAGGAAGGGGTGGGCAGTGTGGGGTGGTACTGGGTATTGAGTATCCGGAAGAGCAGCTGGACAGACCACACGTGTCCCTGCCCTGCCTTAACACTCCAGGAGGCTAGTGAGTCACTGAGGAGCAAAAGTATGAAAAGCAGACCCTCTACTCCCTGCTCCCACAGACACCCCCACCTTTGATTCCTTCTGGACATTATGAACACTCCCTGTCGCCTCCTACAGGCTGTCCAGGGCAGTGCAGGTCCTTACAGACATCTTACTGGTTCTTTATCCCAGAGATGTATGTTAATTCTAAAAGGCGAGTGTCACAGAGACTGGGTATCTGCATTCCCAGAAGCAGCTTGTGCTGACTCTGTGGCAGGAGAGATTTCTGTCATTCTGTTAGGTAGTAGGAGAGAATGGCTCAGCTCCTCGTATTGGTTTCTTGCAGTCCTGGAATCAGAGGGATTGCTTTTTCCATTTTTTTTTTGGCCATTCTATATTTAGCTCTATTTTTTTTCACATGAAGGAAATTGCACCCTTATCCCGCATCTTCCCTGCCCCAGGGTCCATGCTTGGCACAAAGATGTTGTTCTCACACTCCGGGATGGAGAATGGAGTTAATGCTGCCCTGTATGCCACAGCGGGGCGCAGAACTTCCTCACCATAGGACAATGTAAAGGATGCAGCCCTGGGGCTGGCGTGGGAGGGCGTATCTCCTCTCTGCCACGCCCGACTCTACCTTAGCCACCCCTGTGCATTTGAGTAAGTGGCACACAGTGAGAAAGACCATGACCAGGGAAGTGCTGTCACTTTAGGGGTCACCTGAGGCTACCGGATCATATGCGCTGCGTTCCAGGCAGATATATGTTACAGGAGGCTGGGGAGAGCCCCGGCCCTCGTGTGTGGAACACACCCTTCCTCTTGCCCACACTGGCTGAGAACAGGGTCTCTCTGGGAGGTAATAGAAGGGCAGAGATGAGCATAGGTTCCAGAGGCCCTGAGTGCAGTGCTCAGTAGATTTATGGCTATTTTTTCCTCCTCTGAACCATGGCATTTTAAAAGCTCGTCATCAGATCGAAAAGGCCACCTGCGAGGATGTCCTGGAGCAACTTATTTTATTGTTGTCTTTAGGATTTCTGGGTGCGTCTCCCTTTCCCTGCTAGGGAAAAGAGTAAATCCCAGGGTTCTGTTGCTGTTCTAGAAGGCTCATGTTGACCATTTTACGAGAGAGAGGATCAATAACAAAGTGTTTTGTTTCTGTTTTTGTTCTGTGTGTGTGTGTGTGCGCGCACACACGTGCCTGTGTGTGCGTGTGTGTGTGTGTGTGTGTATGCGTGTGGGTTTAGTTCAGGCAGCCACCTCGGCTAACACCCTGTGGAAGACAAACTCTGTAGGTGTGGACGGTGTCAGCAGGCAGCGATCTTCGTCAGATCTGCCAGCTGTCCACCCACCGCTGCCCCCTCTGCGAGTGACGTCTACCAGTACGTTTTCTTTCCTCCTCCTTTTTCCTTTCATGCCGGTGGGCCTTATGAATCTGGAAAACAGGGGGCACTGTTGGAGACCACTGTGGGCTGCCCACAGATACATACCAGATGTTGCCCGTGTGGCCCCAACCCTTGCAGTCTCTACCTCAAGCCCCCATCTGTTCCTTCACCCCACTCCCAACATGGCTCACTCTTTTCTCTGTCTCGCCAGCATTTAACAATTTCTCTCCCTCTCCACACAACATCCTTCCAGTTCCTTTAGCTTTAAAGTGATTTGGGGGTGGTCATTTCAGTCATGATCTGGCATGAGATTCTTTTCATGCCAGTGTATAGTTGGCAGTTCCCCCACGCTGGGAGCCAGGCAGTGGGAAAGGGCCTTTCTCCTGCTGCAGAGCCAAACTTTTTTTTTTTTTTCTACTGGGTGAGTGACACCAGCCCCATCTGCTCCCTGCCCCCTGCCCCCTGCCTTGGCCTAAGGAGTCTCTGAATCTGTTGCTTCTGGGGCACTGGAGCTCTTCCTAGGCCACGGTGCCTGCGGTTTAAACAGAAAGCACCCTAGCCCTTCCTCAGGGATTGCCAAGAGGGACCATGTTAGCAGCTGCAGCAGCAGCGTGTGTCCAGGAAACGCTGCAGAGAATCTGGGGCAGGGTCCAGCTGCAGTGTCCTCAGGTCAAGCATTAGGAGGGCTCACAACTGCCTTCCCTTCTGCTTCTCAATGCGGTGCTCCTGAGCGTTTCTGTTAAGATGGGAAAGGTAAGAGAGAGGGGGAGGGACCATGAACTAGATCCCCCCTCCTTCTTGTTCCATATACTTTTGCTCCCATCTCGAGGCAGGTCGTCGACAAGGGCCTGGCACTCTGTTATTTTTGAGATGGGTGGGGTGAGGGAAGGCCCAGACACATGACCTCACTCTGTTGGTTTTGGTTTTTTTAAACAGCTCTGCCCACTCTAGCGGAGTCAGTTTGCCTCTGAGCCACAGCCTGTGATCTAGACAAGACAGAGAGTAGTAAACTCTATCACCTCTCCCCTTAGACTGGGGACCCCATACCACGATTGTCACAGTTTGTCCTCAGAGCTTACTCCGCCCCCCTAGAGGCCAGTGGGGTATATAGATTTCAGTTCCCGTTGGGTGGTGGGTCATTTGATGCAAGAAGAACCCTGGCCCAAGCATTCTGGGCTCCCCAGGGCAGATGCCAGCCTTAAACCTAACCTCAGACTCTGGCTTACTCTGTTGGTTTTGGGGCAGTCGGCCACAGAATCCAGGGCCGGCCCCAACATAGGTTTCCAGCTAAACACACACAAACCTCAGCAAGGTTTCAGTAGTAGTTGAGGCTCGCTTTCCTCATGGGTTTGCTCCTCGCAGTTTCCCAGAGGAGAAAAGCTGAGAAGCAGCCATGGGTGTTCCCAGAAGAATGCTAGAGAGGGAAAAGTCTCCAGAAAGAGACTAGGTATGTGACCTGGGGAGCTCACGCTCTCTTTCCCTCCCCCATCTTCTCTCCACAGATCCCCTGACCACCACACCACCCCCGCCTGTGGCCAAGACGTCAGCCACACTAGAAGGCATGAGCCAGCCAAGCAAGCCCTCCCAAGCCGGGGCCTCGCAGAGCAAGCCCCCACCCCTGCCGCCCCAGCCACCCAGCCGCCTGCCTCAGAAGAAGCCAGCTTCCGGGTAACCGTTGCCCCTGCCTGGCCGCTCTGTGCCTGGCCACGGCAGCCAACACTGCCTCTCCCATTCAGAGGGCTTCCAATGGCCTTGGCCCCATTTTCTGCATCTGTTGGGATTTCTGTGTGAGCCCTGGTAATCTCCCGTGTTTCTGCCACGCTAGGGTGAGAGGCCAAGTGCTCTGTAACTTACTGACCAGCCCTCGAGGGTCTTAACGGTAAATCTGGAGGAGGGTTTAGCTGAAGGTGTATTACAAGCTTAGATCTTAAACCTGCATGATCAATTTAGATTTTTGTGCGTTAAACACTGGGATTTTTGGAGTCAAGTTCTTAAGAAACTGAGCTCCCACTGGTTCTTTGTTTTGCTCCCTAGAAACATCGTCTTGAATGCATGGTCCTTCCACAGGGTCACTGAATGTTTCCTATAGACAAGGGCTTTTTCCTTCATGCACACACTGCAGAGGGATCCAGTTACCTTTTTGAAAGCATTTAAATTTTTTAATTTTAGTTTATGTTTATGGGTGTTTTGCCTGCTTGTATGTCTGTACCATGTAATCTCTGGTGCCTACAGAGACCAGATGAGGGTGTCAGAGTCCCTGGAACTGGAACTAAAGGTGGTTTTGAGCCACCATGTGGGTGCTGAGAATTGAACCGGTGTCCTGGAAGAGTAGCCAGTGTTCTAAGCCACTGAGCTATCTCTTCAGCGGCCCCCCATCTCTGAATCTATGCTTTTATAGTATAAAGTAGATTTTGTTTGAGTCTTCTTTTTTGTGGATTCGCTTCGAAGGTGTGCGGTCTGGGTGGGAGGTGACGTGGTCAGGGCTACAGTATACCTATGTCTGTGTACACACACTTTTCTTCATCTCTTTGGAAGCTCTCTCTATTGGAACCAGGAGTTCATATCACCATATCCGCCTCCTCTCACATAGACGGCACCAGTACTGCATGTTATGAGACATACTCTCCTAACTGTGTGCATGGTTCACGAGTCCCGTCACCAGGGTTACGGGGTGACACACTGGAGTAGTTTGTCTTTGCCATAGCTGGCACACACACACACCACCGCCCCGTAGGATGGAAATCTTTTGGTAAAGGCAGGTGTCTGGAGGGCTCCCCACTTTGTGGACTTGGAAGCTGTTGCTGCCTCAGCAACACTTCAGCCAGGCTGCTGACCATAGTGCCCTCATGCATACGATCTCTTCCGGTGGTGTGACTCTCTGAAGACCTGGGCCCAGGATAGGCCGTCCCAGACAGGCCAGGCCGTGTTACTTTGCCCTATTATTTGCATGATCGGTGCTGGGTGTGTGGAGAGGGGTTCTGTTGGGACACAGGGCAGCGGGGCCCTGCATTCATCCTCTCCGGCCCCCACTTGCCACTCCCTTTCTCAGTCATGCAGTTGCTCCTTCCTGAGAACATTCTCTTGGCTCTGCCTCCACCCGACCTAGAGGCCGCCGGAGCCTTCTTTCCCTGCTTGGGTCAGGTCAGGTCCAGTTCCAGCACCAGCACTTGGACATGCAGCCTCTAGCGCCACCCCCCCACCAACCTCTACCCAGGCCATCTGTGCCCTGCTGGGCCTCTGTCTTCTCATCTCACCCAGGTTGGATTTTTAGTCTGATCAGAAGATCACTCACCCCCAGCCCCACCTTCCCCCACCTCTAACAAACCTCTTGTCTGGACGCTTTAAATCCCCCCCCCCCACACTGTCTCTTTTAATATAACTCCCACTTCTCAGCTGTCAGCCGCATTGGCCATTCCTTTAAATGTGCCATCTTGGTTTTATCGAATTATCCAAATGTTCCGGCAGCTTCCCCAGATCCCAGAGGTGAAATCTGGGTACACATGCCTGGTTGACCCCCAGACTCAAGGCCCCACGTCTTTCTGACTCCTCCCTCATGGTCCTTTGAAGAGGAAAAGGGATGGGGGCAGCATGTTAACGCTTCTCATACCCGTCACCAAAGCCTGCCCCCTAGAGGTGGGGCCTGGAGCGCCGTCCCCAACTGGATTCTCCAATCGTGGGCATTCCACCGCCATCTTCCTCAATCCCCATGTTGTTTCTGTGCCTGTTTAAAATACATATACTTCCAGAGGGGTTTTCTCAATTTTGTCTGTTTAGTTTTCCATTTCCATCCTCATAGGAGAGCGAACTTTCTTTATAGCATCCGGGTTTTGTCTCATGGGGGCTCTATTATATCTCACTTCTTAAGAACTGGATGATTTGGGGGAGGGATGGGCACTTGCCTTGCTGGCTTCTCGTGTTTGGCCTCTGTGTGGTAGAAGCCATTTCCTGTAAATGTCCCTGCGTGTCTCTGTCCTGCATCAGGTGAGACCTCACACCCTCAGGCCAGGTTGCACGTGATATTTCTTCACTGTCACAGAGGCTCAGGAGAAGCAGTGTGAAGAAGGAGGAGCTTACTTTGGTTCACAGTTCAACCAAGGGCCATTTGGTTTTTTTTTTGTTTGTCTTTTGGGTTGTTATTTTTTTTTTTTTGTTTGGTTCTAATTTTTTTTCTTTTTTTTTTTGGTATTTTGGTTCTGGAATGGAGAATGGGCCGTTGCCATGCTAGGCCCTGCAAATGCATGCCCCTAGTGGCCCTGCAAGTCTCCTACTTGCTGTTTCCCCTTAATGAAGCATGGTTAAATAAAAACTCAGAGAGAGAAATTTGGGTTCAGCCTGAAGATCCAAAAAGCAAAGCAGTCAGCTACTTACCTGGCTCTTACCTCAACCTCAGTCCGAAGTAGCGATCCCGCCTCCAGGAATCTCAAAATGAGAATGTTTTTGAGATCCGTTTCCTTCCATTTTATAATCTTCTTTAGGGCTGGGATTACAGGCATGCGCCACTGGGATTAAAGACATACTCTGCCTGGTCGGTTCCTATGACAACCAGTGTGGCTACCGGGATTAAAGGTGCGTGTTACCATTACCTGGTCTGTAAGGCTGACCAGAGGGGCTGCTTTCCTCTCAGATCTTCAGGTAGGCTTTATCTATTAAAGTACGGTTGAAATGACAGTACATTAACACCACCTCCCCAAAGTACATCATCTGGCAACTGAGCACTTAACATGGGACCTTCTGAGGGACAGTTTCATAACCAGGCACTAACAATAGGTTTTCCTAGGTGGTATTGCTGTTTGTCTACAGATCTCATAGTCTGCGTGTTTTGTTTTTCACCCTTGGGCAACCTAGGTTCAGTATGTCTGCCTAAAAGGTATATGATTTCTGGGAGTCACGTTAAAATTAATCTTACACTTAATCCCTCTGCTTTGAAGATGTTCTCCCCAGCTGCCCCGGTGTCCCTAGGCGAGATGTCCTATGCCATGCCCTCCCTGGAATGGAAGCTGTCTTCAGTGCACTGGGAACGGGTAGCTGGAAGTCCAGGGACTTGCCGGTTCCTGACGTAGCTTTGGGGATTTCTGCGTTTGCTCTTGGCGAAGCCTCTTGTTTATTGCACAGCCTGCTGCGTCTCCCACTTGCAGAGGCTTTTGACCTGACAGGGATGTTACTGTATACCTGGAGACTATTCTAGGACTTCCCCTAGCTTGATGTAAGCGTTTCCTGCTTGGTCAGCTGGGCTAATCACAATTCTTTCTGACATTTCTAGACATTCTTTCCTTTTCAGGTCTTTGTTCATTTGATTTGGATTTTCACTTTTGCTTGGGGAGTGAAAGGACTTTTATATGCTCCCCCTCCCACCTTCTTCCCTCTTTATGCCTCTCTCCACACCCTGCTTTCTTCATGATACTGGGGGTGGTACCCAGAGCTTCATGCCTGTTATGAGTCTGCTCTTCATTGAGCAACAGTCCCAGGCTACAGCCTGACATTTGAAAATCAGAATGCTTGTGTACCACTTTGCCAAGACATCTTGCTAGAACAAAGTGCACACTTGCACTGTGATATTCTTAAACAGTGGTTTGAAGCAATGTTGGCTGCTGAGTTAACACCGTGACAAATATGCTTCCCCGACCCCTTTGCTAACAGCCGAGGGCTGTGCCTCTCCTGGTCCCTGTGTGCCCTTCCTCTTCCCTCTTGTAATGTTCTTGGATTCTCTGCCTCCTGTGTGCTACTTTTTACGGTGCCAGGTCATGTCTTGAAGTTCTGGACAAGAAACAGTGGGCTCCCGGCACTCCGAGGGTACGCGTGATCAGTGGTACTAGCCGGCAAGCGCCAGGTCATGGCATCCCTGCCAGCCGCTTCCCCAGGGCTCACAAGAGCCAAGCTGGGGCTGCAGATGAGTTTTCCCACTGGTTTTAGTCCAACTGAAAGAGAAGGTGGGGGATGAGAAAGCAGATGATGTTAGGGCGTACTCATCCGCGGCAGATTTCCATGAATGGAACCAGGCTGTCACTGCTGGTAGAGTTCCAGTTTAAGGAAGACATGATGTATAGTCTTTGCAATGGAAGCCCACTCCTCCCCTAACCATTCTGAACAAGATATAAACCTATCATTTCGTATTTGTCCTCTCAGAGCAGGAGACAGCCAGAGCAGGCCCACAGGCTGGCTGCCGCCACCACTTATGCCCACGAGTCCCAAGCTATTGGTGGGTTTTGTGGCATGTGAGATTTCTTGCACTTGCAGGTTTTAGTGCCTATATCCTCGTTCCTTTTTTCTCTTGCTGTGAAGAGACACCGTGGTCATGGCAACTTACAGAAGGAGTTCATTGGGGCTCATGGTTGCATGGTCTGAGCTCATCATCATCAGGGTGGGGCGTGGCAGCAAGTAGGCAGGCGTGGTCCCGGAACAGTGAGTGCTCACTTCCTGAGCCACAGGCACGAGGCAGACATGGGGGGGGGGGGCACTAACCAGGCCTGGCATAGGTTTTTGAAACCTCAGAGCTCATCACCCCTAATGACAAACTTCCTCCAACAAGGCCACACCTCCTGATCCTCCCCATTCAGTTCCACCAACTGGGGACCAAGCAGTATTTAAATGTATGAGCCTATGGGGGCCATTCTCATTCAAACCACCACACCTGTAAGTGACATTTTGCTGGCATGGCAACACCATCCATGGTACCTTCCCACCTCATTAGCAGACAAAGCTAAATGGTTGTCATAGAGACTTAACTCACAAAAATTTGACCTTTTACTTTTTATGTATTAGCCTAAGATAGCCTTGAACTAGTGACCCTTCTTCTGTTTTACCTGGCCTTTGAGGGCAAAGCTGGCTGACTATGGTCCCCTGCTGAGTATCTCTTGGGAGCCCTTCATTGACCATAGAGTAGGTTGTCGGCAACACAGCTTATAATGTCTTCTAGGACATATGTGCCCAGAGGCAGTGGGGATCAAGTTGGGTCTTTGTTTGTGGTTTTTCAGCCCCTTGAAAATAAGAATACAACCAAGTTGTGTTCTTTTCCCACTCATCCTGAGTCTGCAGACCAGCACCCAGGTGGACTCACTGGGGCTGCAAAGGAAGTGACCTGTTGTGGAAAGAATGCCATCCCAGGCTGCCTCCCTGTTCCTCAGCCCCTCCCAAGGCTCGCCTGCCCAATTGTTTGTCTGACTTCCTGCTAGGTCCCCCAGCATCCCTAGGCGACAGAGGATAAGGCCCTCTTAGCCCTCCCCAGACCCTGGTCCCTTTTCTGTTTAGAGAATTTGCAGAGCTAGTGTCCCATCTTCTGCAGATGAAAAGTCTTCTCTGCAGATTCCCCAGTGGTGAATCTGAGTAGACAGAGCCCCCCTCTGCCAGCTGTGAGAGCCACTCCTGTCTGTCTCTACTGCACGGCTAGAGGAAATGCTGGACACAGGGTTCAGTGGGCCTGCCATCAGCCACATTGGTTCCCAAAGCATGTGTGATGTCGTGATGCTGTGTGTGACTTGTGGTGATGTGATGTCTGCAGAGACCCTGGCAGAGCCACCCAGGCCTGATATTAAGCTCCAGCCCCTCCTCTTTCACGGGATGATGGAGGCTCAAGCCGGGGCTGGAGTAAGCAAATGAGTGGAAGCAGTGATGGGTGCTTAGCGTCTGCCCCAGGCCACTGTGAGCACGGGTCCCTGCCGTGCTGGGTTTAGGGTCAGGATGTAGCACTTTGCTCTGGACCTTTCCCTTTTCAATGGTGGGGCTGGGTAGCAGGTTACAGCAAGCACCAGGTGAGCACAGATCGGGATCCCTTATCAAGGGCATAAGGTCGGAGCAGGTAGCCTGGGTGATCAATACGTCTGTATTTCCTTCCTTCTAGGACTGACAAGCCAACCCCACTGATCAATAAAGGCCAGCCAAGAGTGCCTGGTAATTATTTAACTTGGAACAGGTTGATTTGTGGGTGGGTGGGGGTGGCACTTCTAGATAGCTGGTCAGCCCTGGTCAGGGCCTGGAAGCTTAAGTTTCTCACACTGTAAAGCCGGGAAGTTCTCTGCCTTATACAGGATTTCTCTCTTGATACCACAAAATACACGGAGAGCCCTGCTTTTAGACACAACTCCGTGGCTCTTACAGCTGCTGTCTCGGAGTTAAAATGGATGGGGTGGGGCTGGGGGTGTCTTGTAAAGTTGCTTTGTCGTGGCCCTAACGCAGAGGATTGATCTCTTTGAACAGAAACTCCAGGTCCTCTGACCAATGCCATGGCCCTGCAGCCCCCAGCACCCATGCCTAGGAAGTCACAGGCGGTAAGTGAACAAGCCTGCTATCCTGTCCCTGGTTCTACCCATTGGGATTGCTCCAAGGCAACCACGCTTTCTGTTTCTCCTGGGCGGAGCCCTGAGGACTTTTTTCTGGTGCTGTTTCTTGACTGGGGAGCTGACCAGCTTGACCATACGTTCACTGCCACAGTATAGTCCCCACGAGTGCCAGACCCCGGGTGTTTCATTTCCCAGGCTTATCCCGGCTTGCCTGACCTCTGTGAGTTTCCCAGCCCAGATGCGTGGCTCATGAGGCAAGCAGAAGAGAGAGGCTCGTTCTCTACCTACGACCTTGGCTTTCTCTCACACTGGCCCCTGCACTAGCCCCTCACCCTTCCTCTTCTGACACAGACCAAGGCCAAGCCCAAGCGAGTCAAAGCGCTTTACAACTGCGTGGCCGACAATCCAGATGAGCTGACTTTCTCTGAGGGGGATGTAATCATTGTGGATGGAGAAGAAGATCAGGAGTGGTGGGTGAGTCTGGGGGCCGTTGGGGGCTGTGCACAAGTCAGGGGGAGTCATAAGGCCTGTGCACAAGTCAGGGTTGAGCCGTGGGGGCCTGTGCACAAGTCAGGGTGTGTTGTAGTAAGGGCGGCCGGGGTGCTGGGGACGTGGGGGCTGTGCACAAGGGAAGCCCTCAGCCTAAGCAGTCCTCTGCTGCTGCCGCCAGATTAGCATACGGTGCCTTCCACATCCTCTGGTGTCTTCTGTGTGGACATCCTCCTCTGAGTGGGCCTGATCTGTCCTCGGGTGTAGCTGGAAGTGTTCTCCGTCCCGCTGGTCCCCCTGGACTGGTTTTCCTCTGCTTGCCTGTTCCTGAAGCCACTTATGAAATATATGAAATAACCATTCTGAGGCTTATTATCAGTTACAGTTGTTTGGCCACTGTCTTAGGCTTCTTACTGGCTAGCTCTAACTATTAGATTAACCCATTTCAATTAATCTATGTATCGCCACGAGGCTGTGGCTCACTGGTAATGAATGTCCTGGCATCTTTCTCCTTTGGCTGGCTACCTGGCGTCTCCTTGACCCTGTTTTTACTCTGCTAAGCCATTGAAACAGCTTCATTCATCAACCAATAATATTCAGAAGGACATACCCCATCACTTAGGTGAACGCCTCACTATTATAATGGATGGGCCACTCGAGCTCCATTTCCAGAGCACCCTTGACCTGAACTGGGAGTGTCGTGGCCATAAATTCCACACGCAGCCCTCCACTGCCAATGTGTGGAGCCAGGCATCCGGAGAGCTGGGCTCAGGGCAGAGTCCTGTGTCACTTTGATCCCAACACAAGCTACACCCTGCTCAGCATCCAGCTCGTACAAGAGCAGCGTGAGTACTGAGCTTCTCCCAGAAGCCTCTGTCGTTCAAACTCAGCCGCTTAACAGGCGGGGGACCTGGGCAGCAGGATCTCCGGAAGGGAGTCGTGCACAGCACTGCAGCCGAGATGCCTTGGGGATCAGCAGGGATGACATGGGTGGTAGGCTGCGGGTGAGGGTGTAGGGATGAACCCATGGAAAGAGCTCAGCACGGACTGCCACCCAGTGGGCACTCGGCGCCCTGCCCTGTAGACAAAACTCAGATACCAAGTGTTTCAAAAGGTCCCTTGGGACTTGGGGAGGCACTTTGCTTGTCAGCCACAGGAGTTTGACCTGATCCATCTGTAGCTGCCTGTCCCCTCTGCAGCTTAAGCCCCAAGTTCTCTGGTGGGTCTGTGGCTCCACCCTGCAGCACCACTGCTGGTAAGGGAAGAAGCCCATTCCCATCACTTTCCTCGGCACCTCAGCTCCCACACACCTTCCTCCTGTTTGCTGAGCAACTCCCGCCCATGGCTGGGCCTGGGCAGAGTCCAGCACTGGGCTCCGGGAACCTGGCCTCAGCCCTCCACATGCACACCCACCAACACCTACCACCAGGAAGCAGGATTGGAATCAGACTGTATTTCATCCTGTGTGGTGGATGGATTCCAACCTGACCCAGTTTTAACCCAGTGGAAAGCGTCTGTTTCCAAGAGCATGGAAAATCTGGACAGCCACAAAAGAAGTAAATGTTACCATGACTACAGAGCCTGCCTCTCCTGAGGACCCAGGGTTCTCGGTGGCAGTCTGGGAAAAAAAAAAAGTATAGTTCGACAATTTGCTAATATCATGAACATGGTTGAGATTACACATGGGATTATACATGAAAATACCCAGACTGAATTTTTTTAAGCCTTTCTACAAATGCCTGATGAAATAGGAATGGGGCCACATCATTGCTTTGGCCAAGTTTTATGACTTTGAGTACAGTTTCTTCATTCTCATACGAAGTGGGAGTGGATCCAAGATGGCTCCCCTGGTGTCTTCCGTCCTGCTGTGGCCCGGGGGCAACATCTCTCTGCTCCCCTGTAGCCGTCTGAGGGTGTATGAGGCTTGTGGAAGGAGGCAAGCACAGGTGGGAAGGGAAAGAAATGGCTTAGCTGTTTTTCCGTCATTCTTGGGCAGAAGAAATTCCTCTGCACAAGCAAGTATGTGCTGCCCCTCTGAGTCGCTAACGTTTATGACCCAAACTTGCTCGTTTCAGATCGGCCACATCGATGGAGACCCCAGCCGCAAAGGAGCCTTTCCTGTCTCTTTCGTGCACTTTATTGCTGACTGAGTTGCTACTGAGCAGAAGGCCTTTCTTTCATCACGACGTTCCATTTTGTCATTGGTACCAAGACTGGCTATCCAGTCTCCTGGATCCTGCCGTATGGTCGCCCATCGTCTCACAGTACCATTTTGTTCTGAAAACTCAAAGGCAGTTTTTATATTCAAGCTGATTCTTTTTTATAGGTTGTGGTTTTCATGCAACATTGCTATACTTTTACTAGGAAAAGCCAAATGTCCTAAGAGCAAGGAGGCAAAAGGCTATTTTAACTCTAGACCCAGGATCCTGCATTTTCAGGAGTAGCTAAGCCTAAAAATGCTTAGACGAATTTGGGGGATTCCTTAGCTTTCCTTAGCGCGGCTGTGCCATTGCTTAGCTTTGGCACTGTCGGTTCAGCAGGCCGGAACCGTGCTGCTTCAGTCTGTTGCCGTGCCCTGAACTTTGTCCACAGACGCCATCCATTCCCCTGTAAGACATATTCCTCTGAAACCCAGCCAGTGTCTGTTTAAAGCAACTTGGCAATTTACACGTTAGCCTTGTACTTTTCCGGCCCTGGCCCAAGGTGGCAGCTGCCATGATCTCCTGCATGTATGTATGACCCGTTGTCGTGAACAGTCGTGCCTGGCATACTACTGATGGGCTATTAGGACATCGCACTTTTAGCAGTCTGTTCTGCACCAGTATTCTTAAATTGCAGTTCCTGAATTTGGTTGAAAACTGAGGATGATGGATTGCAAAATGCCCTTGAAACCAGCTTGTGTGCCCTAGGTGTTTTAGGATTTGCCTCCTTCAACGTCCCCCGTCACTCAGAAAGCAACTGTACACGAGTAGGTGCAGACCACAGTGAGAGGCAGATGCCTCATTGTGTCCTGGTGTGTGCCACTGCCTTCCCCTCCCAGCCCCCAAGGACACCTGCTCTGCTTAGTGTCTTGTCTTTAATAGGATTCTCCAAAAGGAATGGTAGCCACACTGTTTTTAGCCTGTTCAGTTGTTTGTATTCAAGAGCATATCAGAAATCTGTAGATCCTGGGGAGCCCAGTACCCCCAGACATCCCAGTTACACTATTTAAGGCCTCACGTAACTTTGAAACTTACAATATGTGGGGTGGGGGTGGGGGACTAGGTTGTATATGATAGAAATCAAAACTCATTTGTTTCATGAACTTGACTGCCATACCTCTATTAATAATTGTAAGCATAAAAGTCACGGTAGAGAGATGGGAAATTCTGGCACGCTTTCAGAATAAAGAGGCGAGTATAGGGTGTGAACCGGAGCTGGAGTGTGAGCAAAAGGAATGGACTGAAGTGTAGGCTTGGCAACAAGGCAGTGATGCTGTCGAGGTGACACCTGATTGAAGCAGCTCCGTCTGTACTCTCTGCACAAGGCTCTTACGAGCACGGAGCTTCCCTTTCTTTGTCTCAGAGCAATCAGGACAAACTGGAATGTTTTATGATGCTATATAGTGATTGCCTCCTGTCTTTCAGATTCTGGGTAAAAGCACGTTAGATCTGTATTTAAGGTCAGTCTCTCCCCCCTGCCCCTTCTCAACACTACTTGTTACGTTCACTACTCATTCATTTCCGTCGTTTAAGCCCTTCTAGCCACTCTTCTCGTAGACCCGAGAGGATGGGCAGATGCATTTGCACAGTGTACCTCTTTTACAGTGCCCCTACCCCCCACACATCTGTATCGTCCTCTTTGGTGACCTGGTGCCAGCTCTCTCTCTCTGAGGAATCACGTTGATGCATATCAACATTGGAACCCTGGTCCCAAGCTAACCTATCAGGTTCACTGGTACTTAAATGCCTAGGAAACATTTTCCCACTTTCTGGTGGTGCTACTGTGTGGTAACGGATAGTGCTTTCTACCAGAAGAGAAATTTAATTGACTTCCCTCCTAATTATCCTTTCTTAGTTATTTGCTCTCTGCAAACTGAGAAGAAAAAGTAACTGAAAGGAAAACATTGTAGATATCTATTTATATTTAAAGTTTACATTTCATGAGTGTCGGCCGTGGAATTCGGGCTTCATTTTTATTTTTATTTTACTTTTTTGCCACTTTCCATCAGGTCTGACTTGGAGGGAAGAGGACTCAGAATATGGTGCGCAGACTAGTGTGATCTGTTGAGGGTGAGGATGAACTGCAGCCTAGAATGCTATTTTGAGATGTGTGATACTCGATTCATTCACTCGGTTACTTTGGTCTAGTTGCAGCGCAACTGTATATACTGTATAACCTAAACGGATTATTTTCATTGTCCTAATGCAGTGATTTATAATTAGAGCATGTTTAATAAATTGACTTCCTGTTAACCAGTCATTTGACTGGAAAAAAAAATAAAGTACTTTTAAATGGACATGGTTTTCCTCTGTCAAGTATTAGCTCTTGGCACTTGGCAGAAGAGGGTGTGAACCGTAAGATCCTTTTAAACCCATTCGTGAAAACCAGCAGATGCCCTCCAAGGTCCTCTGGACTCTGAGATGAACTCCCGTGTGCTGGGTAGTATACGGATGGGATATAACTTCAGTTAGGGTGCTTTTCATCTTGACACTGCTGTTGCTACTCCAAGGTCATGTGAAATCGAGGTCCCCAGTTCACGCCTATGCCTGCCCCTAACCCAGACTTCCAAGCAAGTAACCCCGAGTCTCTGGGTCGGTACAGCATGCAAGTCTCATTCAGTCGTCTATGAATAGATGCAATTGTCTGACACATCAGTATTAAGTAAGTCTGGGTACATTTTAAAAAGACAACAGAAGTTTATCTTATTTTTAGATTTTATTATATGTATGCATTGACTGGCTGCATGTATGTATTGTATACCACATGTATGCCTGGTACCTGAGGAAGCCAGAAGGGGAAGTCAGTTCTCTTGGAACTGGAGTTGCAGGCAGTTTTGAGCCACCTTGTGGGTGCTGGGAACTGAACCCAAGTCCTCTGCAAGTGCTCTTAACTCCTGAGCCATCTGTCCAGCCCCAAGGTTTCCTTTTAGCCCAGAAAGTAGGTAATTTATTGGGAGTTATCCTACTGTTAGTGACACCTTTGAGTGGCCACTGATACTTCACACGTTACACTTCCTTTAGAACACTGGGTTGGGGCTTTACGCCCTCTCATAGGTCACCACTGCAGATCCAAAGCAGAAAGATGCAGGACCAGGCGAGCTCTCGGATAGGCCAGTTTCCATGGGACTGCAGAGGTCAGGACTTGTCGGATGTCAACACAGAGTCAAAGGCTGTGGATAAGACCTTGCAGATTGCTTGGGCTTGCTCCTGCATTGTACAAAGAGAAACACTGCTGCAAATATGATCAAAACAAAGTGCACAGGATTCTCGAGGAAATGGACAGAAAGACAGAGTGAGAACAGACATGATACATCTCTCTGGAGACTACCTGACTTTCCCAAATACCTCATTACTTCCCCCGAAATCTACACATCAGCAGCACCTGCCCGGCCTGTGAACATTCCTGAGATGGCGGACAGTAATGGCTGCTACTAAGCCTGAGAGGATGGCGGCTCAGGAGTGGAGGGAGCCCTGACCCAGCCCAGGTCAGTGTGGCTTGCTCGGCAGGAGCAGTACCCAGCCTGAGTAGCTGCTGATCCAGGGTTTACTCCTGCTTGCTGATGACCACTTGGGAGAACCTTTGAAAGCTGTGAGAGAGTCACAGCCACCATGTCACCTGCTGAACAAGAACAAATCAAGATGTCTCACCAGGCTGTTACACTGGTAAACCCACAGGTTGTATTCTTCATTGCTTGCATCTGTGGTCTTGAGTGCCAGCAAGCTCTTGCCGGCTCCTAGGCCATCGTCATAGCACACCATCCGGATGATTAAATACAGGGCATGCCTGTGCAGAACACCCTGTGGAAATCACAAGACCTTCAGAAAGCTGGGACATGGCTGCCAGCGTTTCGCAGTTCTCAGAAAACATTTTCCCCAGTCAAAGTGCACTGGGAGGCTTGAAAAGACAGGTCCGTGGATCTGGGAGCAAGAACTACACAGCTTCCCAGCCAAGGGACCTTGGTGTGCCTAGTTATGGGGTGGCTTGCTCTCGGGATCCCATTTTCCTGTTTAGACCCAGAGAAATAGGAACAAGGTCAGCTATACTGTCCTCACCTCTGCCTGTCCTCCACGTCAACCAACAGCTACTTTCAAATGACATGGGGTCCCTACATGACACACACTGGGTGCCTGCACATATGTGGGAAATACAAAAGAAGCCCCTGCTGTCCCTAAGGAATGGGCAGAGCTTAACACCAGCAACCACCCAGGACCCGGGAGACCCAGGTCCAAGTGCACCCTGAAAGGCTAGGGCTCCCGGTTCCCTAGAACGGGCGCTGCACTTACATGCTGATCCGTAGTTGAGACTTTTATGCCATACTTGGAAACGCCCAGAATAAACTCCTCCTCCAGGGGAACAAAAGGCAACTTTCCATCTTGCTGCAGAGTGGAAATAAATCACAGCTCACACATTAAAATGGCACAGTCCCCTCAAGTTTGATTAGTTGCTTCTGGTCTCTGGTTGTCACAGCCTTGGGCCCTTTAGGGTTCCGTCTACACAAGCATTTCCCCCAAATTCAGATCGATCCTCTCTGTACTGTTCTGTCCTTTGTGATGTAAACCCTAATGACAAATGAAGAGCCTAGCCACAGATCCTGGTGACATTAAAATACTTACACTATTAAACCAGGAATGTTGGCACAAGCTTTTAGTCCCAGCACTCGGGAAGGCAGAGGCAGCAGGATTTTGTGAGTTCAAGGCCAGCCTGGTCCGCAGTTTCAGGACAGCCAGGACTGTGTGTGTGTCTTGTCTTAAAACAAGCAAAATTTACACTATTTAGATTTACAGATCCTCAAAGCTCACCTTCATGTCAGCACAAGGAGTGAGGAGGAAGTTGGGTAGCGGGGGACGTGGTGTTTTCTGACTGCTGAGATACATCTTGCTAGCTAAGGCTCCCAGGGCTCCAGGTGACAAGCTGCTGATGAGTTAACAAAGCTCAGAAAGTCGTCTATCAGCAGAATGAGCTCTTGAGAAACAGAGCAGCGGTGATAACCCATCATACCCATCAGCCGGCCTCATCTACCTAAGAATGCTGCCTAATTTGTCTTCTCTCAAAAAGATGTTGCTGGCAAATAATAGGTGTTCTGCATTGCAAATGCTTTTGTGGAATTGATGAATTACAGTAATTGAGTCATGGCCAGATGCCTCAATTCCTGGCCCTCTGAGTATCTGTAATGCCTTGCCAATCATTCTCACAGATCTCAGACTCAAAATAATGCGGTTGTCAATAATGGCGCTTTATCAAATAAAAGCTCTGCAGTGGATGAGCCATCCAGCCATTCTCACAGAATGGAGGGAGCGCTAATATAATTTTGAATATCTTTCTTATAACAGAGTACTTGTCACTTAGGCTGTTTGAATGACCATATTCCAAGTCTCATGCAGTGATAAGAACAGACTTTATCAAAAGTTCTGCTAAATTGCAAATTAAAGTCACTATTTTTCCTTGTAAGTACCTTTCTTTATGGCCACTAAGATAGGAGTCAGTAGGCCCAGTCTCTGTGACTAAGAGACTTTGGGTTCTCTGTGTTGTCCTTGATGTTCTGGGGCTCTTCCTATACAAACCATGATGGCCTGAACTCACAGAGATCCACCTGTCTCTGCCTCCTGAAGTGTAAAGGTATGAGTATAGATCTCATATTTATTTATTTATTTTGGGGTTTCCGAGACAGGGCTTCTCTGTGGAATAGTCTTAGCTGCCCTGGAACTAGCTCTTGTAGACCAGGCTGGCATCAAACTCACAGAGATCTGCCTGCCTCTGTCTCTCAAGTGTTGGAATTAAAGGTGTACACCACCACTGCCTGGCATAATTTTATTTTATAAACAGTATGGTGCTACCTTAATTTTGCTACATGTAGAATTTTGTAAGATATATATAATTACAAGATATTTATGTATCTATCAATGTATGTGGGTGTTTTGCCTGCATGTATGTATATGTGCCATGAGCATGCATTACCTGGGGAAGCCGGAAGAGAGGGTTGGTCCTCTGGAGCTGCAGTTAAGGTGGCTGTGAGTGCCATCTTGGTCCTGGAACAGAACCTGGGACCTCTGTGGGAGCAGCCAGAGCTTTTAACCACCATGCTACCTCTCCAGCCCTATGATAATTATATTTTGTATTTTTATTTCCTGACCTGAGTACATTTTCGAAGCCCCTCTCACCTTAATTCTTGTGGAAATGGATTATAAAAAATGAGACACATGCTGGGCTTGGTAGTACACACCTTTAATCCCAGCATTCAGGAGGCAGAAGCAGTTGGATCTCTGAGTTCAAGGCCCACCTGATCTAGAGTTCCAGGACAGCCAGAACTACAGAGAGTAACTGGGAAAAAAAAACCAAAACAATAACAACTAAAGAAAAGGTATTTTTTGGTCCATGTCATAAGTTTTTAAATCGGTGAAACCATTTCAGTAGAGGAAGGCTTTGACAGGTTTAGAAGAATCTACCGTCTAAGCAGTGAGCACAATCAGTTCTTCAGTAAACCAGGAGCCAGGTCAAATGGATAATGTAAACGTTTTATGCCTGGGTAAAGAAACTTTCCCCCATGTGGCTCCATCTCCAGGGCACCTTGCATGGTCTAAGACTCAAAGCTGCCCCAGGATGAGCGCCAGGCTCCAGCCACAGATGGTGAACCGTGCAGTGGACCCAGGGACATTCTCCTTCAACATACGTTCAGCACCAGCACAGCCAGAGGCTTCCACTGGAGTCAGGTTTTGTTCTGTCACTCACCTGGGCGACATCTATGTAGTTTATCAGGTCTAGTGGTCCTTGGAGACTCTTCCCCTGAGACAGGTCCAGTTTCTCGATGGCACCAACATACTTTATTCGAAACTCGGCGCACGTGTCTAAACTGTTGCTTTGTCCTAAGATTATAATAGACACGAACAACAGTGCCTACTTTACAGAAGGTTTTCTCTTTTTAAAAGATTTTTGATTTTACTTGTGCAGGTGCTTTCAAAGCAGGGTCTTAACCATCTAGCTCTGGCTAGCCTGGAACTTACTTATGTAGACCAAGCTGGCCTCAAACTCATATTCACCTGCCTCAAAGCACTGGAATTAAAAGTGGGCACTTCCATGCCTGCGTCTGCACCCGGATTCTTAGCTACTAGTTTCTAAATGGAAGATTTCTTGGTATAACAGGGAGGAACTTAAAATTGTATTAACACTCTTTCCTCAGTGATCGACTGATATAGAAAAGCCTCAATGACTGGGGCAAATAAATACTGACAACCTTCATTTCAAAATAAGAAAAAATATTTAAAAGTCAACTAGATAGGAAATGCTACCTTATAATATATA